AATGTCTTTACATCCTTTGGAAATGAAATATATTTGGAAAAGTAAGGTTTTGTCTAAAACTGAGAAGATAATTTACATGGAAACATTTCATTTCAAAATCCTAGTATGAATGAAAACTTCCACATTAGAGTGGGACTTTCTTACAGTATTTGCTGGCTGAATGCTTTCGATGCATACAGTTTGAGCACTGGAGACCAGCTGACAGAAAAGCTCCTGGGGAAATTCAGTTTTGACATTGTTTGACCTGAACTAGTTCAGTTTTGTAAACACCTGTTACAAAGGTTTAAAAGCTTGGAAGTTGGCAGTAAGCCGTGTGAAATCAAGCCCAGTGGTTTATGGTAAGAATACAGTATGCGTGACCTTTTCTGAATTTACAGCTGGAGTTAATGTCATTACCACCTCAGGAAATGGGGTAGCCACAGTTTCTGTCATACATACTTGGATGACAGAGAAGAAAAGAAACTTAATATTGAATATTAGGTCCAGCAACCTGTTGACTGTGTAATAGTTAACTGTACTAGATAGGGTTATTTCCTGTTTATTCATTTACTTCTCACACCATGAAATGCTGCAGAATTGAATGACTGCTGGTAAGTGTACCTGAAGGGTGGGTAACCATCCTCTGGAAGATACTTTATTTGAACTCACATTGGACAAAGTACATCACGCCCTTGTAGTGCTGACATACTGTCAGATGTTAGACTCGGTTCCAACCTGTTGCCTATAGAGATGCCGTACTTACAAGGTTTATTTTAATTTCACCAAGTTACATACTTTTGCTTTATAGATTCTTGCTTATGTGAAGATATAGCAGACTAAGTTTTTACAAATGATGCAGACATTTGTAAAACAGAAGTATTTATTGAGGAAGCATTTCATGCAAATTTACTTGACAATAAACTGTTGAACAGATGTTTCTTGAACACTATATGACTAGAAGAGAAGCATTAAGTCAAAGTAGAATTTGTTATTTACAGCATTCACTGATTTTAGAACTAATCTACATTATTAACATGTTACCTGCATTTACACCAAGAATAGGCTGGTGATGTGTTTTATGATAAATCTTGAGAAGCAAGTAGCAGATAGTAGACTTTAGCACTTGAAACAATTTGACATAGGAAATTTCAATTACTTGAGAAAAAGATAATTTGAATTTAAAAGCATTGCTCAATTGAGAATCTAACTCTTCTCTCATTTGTTACAAGATGTATAGAAGGGTTTTTAAAGCACTGACTACCGTATTGATTAACTTCCAGAATTCATGTTTCAAACCTAACAAACAGCCTTAGCTTGAGGCATCCAAAACAACCAGCAAATTTCCTCAAACAGCTTATTACACACATTCTATCAAGAAAATTCTAGGTTCCTTTTACTTGCACTCACATTTTTCACTTAGGTGCCCAGAATAATGGTAATGTAAATTGGGCTTCAGTAAGTTGGAAAGACCAAAGTTGGAAACACACCATGTAACAGAATGTTAACTGAGCACCTGGGATGTAAAACAAGAGGTCCATAAAGAACAAAGTACAAGATTGTGATCTGAAGAAGGAATAATTGGAAACTCACTGAAGGCAGAGAGCTTCCAGACATTCTATCTCTTAGGAAGTGAAGGGCACAGTATATCTTATTTCACAGTATTTCCCTCTCAGAGCATGACAGTGAATCAGAGAAATCTCTATGGCAAAACACTACCATACATTTTATCTAAAGGAGTAGGAAATGAAATGAAAAGGTCTCATGTCACGTAAAAAGAAACCTTTCAGTGGTGTGCGTAACGATACTCAGATGTAGAAATATATTTGTGTTAAAAATCTGACAGGTGCAACTGTGTTTTCGTTACACTGCATTTTCAAATACAAACTCATTACAAAACAAAACAAACAGCCTCTCAAAATTGTTACATGAACAGAGGTAACACTGGTGTAAGTTACTAGCTTGAGAATCCAGTACAGTTTGAGACACTAATGCTGAACAAGTCATGGGAGCACAAAATATTTTAATACCATCCTGGTTGGTATGTGATCCTTACTAAGTGAAAAGCAAACTTCAGTCTAAGTGGTAAATCTTCAGCTATAAGAATACTACCAGAGAATAAAGAAGGATTTCATAATTATTATTACTTTCAGCGTATTCTGTGTTGGTATACTTGCTCAGTCATCGGAAATCAAGAGTTCAGTTCACTGTGATGTTTTATTTTGTGATGCTCCCAAAATAGAAGTTTCCCCATATATTCCACTAAAACACAAGTTGATATCATAAGCTTTAAGCCAGAAAGTTAAGGGCATAATTATTTCTGGAAAAAGCAATGGAGACAGAACCTTGGAAGGTGCTCTCAACAGAAAGTTTTAGATCATCACAGCACTTACAGATTTGCACTTTCAAAAACTGATTTTCCTGTTAAAAAACAGTTGTGAGGTCAACAAAAAGAAAAATATTCATAAATGAATGTACTGTTTTACCAAGATTTAAAAAAAAAAAAAAAAATCAGGAAAGACAATCTGGAGAGCCAAGACTAACTCTGGAAGCAACCAAACAGTAGCCAACCCAGGATGAAAAGAGTAGCATGCATATTTAAAATTGCATAGATTTTGTATGCCACTGGGAGGATTCAGATGCCTATCTGCAGCCTGACACGCATTCACAAATTTGGTTCTGAAACTGGCAGGGGAAAAAAACCAAAACAGCCCAAAGATGGATATATAAGCATTTCTTGATAGATTTAACAAAGTTGTCTGAATCAAGATCAGAAGTTTCAGTTTCTGTGATCTGACGCCTTTTCTGAGAGCTGGCAACTTGATGATCAGTGTATGATCTTCCTTCCTAACCCAGGATACTATTGTTGCTAAAAAGTATCACTAACTTCAGGGAAGGATAAGCAAGACTCTTTTTTCTTACAGAAATAGCCATAGATTTACGTGTTCAGAATCCAATTATAAAACTGTATATGGCTACTGTGACTAAATTGGTATAATAAAGAGTCTAGTTTACTCCCCCACCATCTCTATACTACCAGAGCTGGCTTTTATCAGTGTCTCTGAATTACAAGTAATTTGCACATCATTCTGCTGGTAGTTGTACGTCCTCAGAATACAAGTGCATCCTTAGGAAAGCTAGCCATGTGCCAGCCTGTGATTCTTGCTTATGTTCCACTAATGGAAGTGCAAACAAGTGTGACTGCCAAAGGCAAAAAAAAAGCAATGGGAAAAAAAAGAAAAGAGCTGAGAGGGATATAAGTTTCTACATGAAGATTAATAAGTGTTCATTTTGGATTTACGAGCATGCATTCAGGCCTACTTTAAATTATCGTCAAAGCACTCCATCCTCCTTTACACTGAATGGAGTTTCAAGTTTCTCTGTCTAGTAGCAAGTATGATACGCAACCACTCCGAAAAAAAGCCATTAATCTGTTCTCACTACCGCTGGCTAGTAAAGCAACCAAAATTCAAAGTTCAGATTCAATCGCGCTTTACTTCAAAATGAGAGCTACCGTCTGAACAACGAATTCTAGTCAATAACTGCTGCAGTTCTGATGTTCTGTTTCTAGCCACATACTTCTGCGTTCAGAAATACTTCTGAGTGCTTTGTTAAAGATACAACACAAGCATGCTTTCTTCTACAATTAACTTTTGGGTAATTTCTGGATGGCAACTACTCATAAGCAGTTGGCAGGCTCTTTTTACCATCTATGCAACTAGACAGGATTTGTTAGAATATAAATAGTATCTGTTAAAACCATGCTTAAAACTTTGTGTGTGTACGTGTATGCATACATACACGTGTGTGCACTCATATTTCATAGAATCATAGAATCGTTAGGGTTGGAAAGGACCTTAAGATCATCTAGTTCAAACCCCCGTGCCATGGGCAGGGACACCTTACGCTAAATCATATCACCCTAGGCCATATTTCATGTGGGGAAGCAAAAAAATTGGCTTAACTGCCACTTGATTTCACAAGGCAAAGGAAAAGCTTCAGCAGTAATAGTTGAAAACCGAGCCAGTTTCTTTACTACAGCATAAAGCAAAGTTGAGGGTCTTGTATCTGTGTTTAGCTTACTTCACCACACAGCTTACAAACAAAACGGCTTTTTTGAGCCATTCCTCCCAAAGCTGCTTCAAATGGCAGTGCCTGTTCTCTGCATCAAACACACCGCTGCTTCGAGCCACCAAGCAGAGGGTGGATGCAGCCAAGGACAAGACTTGGACCTACCCCAACTCCTCACCTGCTCCAGCTCTGCAGTTCCACCCCACGCTACCCAAACACTTGACTGACACCCAAAGCACTCACACATAGCCTGCTGCCCTTAGGACGCTTTCAGGTGCCTGCACATACCTCTCAACAGCGCAACGGGTACGTGACACTTCCTCCATCCCAGAGGACCGGGACAACCTTCCCACCGCCGGCCCTCGCTTTGAACTGACCCACGAGCACAGCTCGGAGCCCACAGCGCCGCCGCACCTGCAGAGCCACCCGAATACAAAGGCTTAGAAACGACCCTACCCGACTGCGGGCTTGAGGAGCTGCTCCTTCCCTGCGGCCGCTCTGCCTCCGGCGGGCCCGGGCACCACCACAACAGTGCGTTTCCAAGGCAGCCCGCACGCACAAGGCCCCTGCCCCGCCGCGTTCTAGAACCACCCCGACGGGGGCGGCTCAGGCCTGACCCTGCCCGGCCCCGCCATAGAGGCCTGGCACCGCCACAGCGGCCCTGCCTGAGGAAGCGGGCTGACCCCGGCCTACACGGGAACAGCAGCGGCTTTTCCTCACCCGGCTTCATAAGGCAGTTTATAATTCAGTCTGCAGTTACCCTCTGGTCGCTTCTCCTTACTGGCAAAGCTGTTTGGGGCGAGTGGTGCAAATACAGAAATGAAGCAAAAATCAGAAGTTTTTGTGCCATGTCAGTTTCCACCAAGACACTGACAGTTTTGTAGCTTACAGATTTTAGTGATCTTCTTTCTGTGTTCATTGAGAATGTGCCACAAGAATGTACAGCGCTTCCCCAGGTGTGATCTGTTGCCTCAGCCAGTGGCACTGAGAGTGCCTTGCTTCTTGTCCATAACAACACCGTGAAAAGTGAGCATACAAGTGTTAAGATTTGAACATAAAGGATATCAAAGGCTTCTAAAGACAAACTAGGGCTACAAATTAGTAGAAAAGCAGCAGACTGGCTACACATGAGCTGAGGTCAGTGACAGCCTATAAACCAGTAAAGAGGATCTGAGGTAAGAGCCAGAACAGCTTTCAAGCAAGCTTTGCATTGTCTGGTTTTGACTAATCTACCAAGAGGTCAATAGAAACTTTATGTACTTTATTAGTAGGAAATTAAAGTATCTGTCTTGGATCACGCTCAACCCAGTGTTTACAGCAGAAGGTTGATGAAGCTTTCATTTCACTCTGATGGCGAAACATCGTCATTTTCAAGCAAGATGGGTGTGGGATACCTCCCAAGTCTGACCTGTGATGGTGCTTTACCTTAGGCAAATGGCCTAAACACTTACCAAAAAGGACTATTAGCGAGAGCAGACTGAACTGAAGAAATACAGATGATCGGAGTGGGGAACTGCAGGAATTGCCATGTCTTAGCAGACCTTACCAGTTTCACTTGCAGGCGTTCACTTGGATGAATTTCTTGTCAGAAGACATGTAAGGATCAAAGTGTCAGAGACCTGACAGCACGTACAGGTGATTCAGAATTGTGTGAGAAGATAATCTCATAAAATCATGAGGAGAAAGGTGGGTACAAGTTACCTACACTAAGAAACTAATTGGGAAAACCCATTCTTCACCCTTGCTGCCCTATAGCCTTTGTACAATTGCATCCAAAAAACCCAACAAGAAAAAAATTACCCATCCCACTCCAAATAAAAAAGGAAATGGGTCCATGAGTCCCATGAGGTTGTGAATGCTCCATCCCTAGCAGTGTTCAAGACCAGGTTGGATAAGGCCTTGGGTGACATGGTTTAGTGTGAGGTGTCCCTGCCCATGGAAGGGGGGTTGGAACTAGATGATCTTAAGGTCATTTCCAACCCTAACTATTCTATGATTCTATGAAATATACATCAAATCCTGTGGAGGATGGCAGCTACAGTGTAAGATGTGCCTTATGCAATTTAAAGTTTAAAAAAGCAAGAATGAGCAGAGTAGACTATGGTTAGAAAGTAATACCAAGCAATTTCTTTTTGTGCAAACTATGCTTTAGGCACTTAATGAAGCAGGGAGGCTGAGCACTAAATTTGAGGATGCTTTAAGTGGATACTGTAAGGATGTTAAAATGTTTATGCCGCAAATGCATAAGATTGTTACATAACTAACAGGATTATAACTAAAATTATCCAGTAAGACCATTTAGTTAGGAGGAGTATATTGTACTTCCTGTCTTGCTTTCTCCATAAAGCCTATTTTAGTCCCTTTGAATAAAGACAGACTAACTTAACTGTACAGTTTCACACAAATATGTTTTTCTGTGCAGTCCATTGTGACTCAGGACTTACAGCATCTGCTCTTTTCCAGGCTGCAGTCCTTGGCAGAAATACTGTTTTACTCTGTTTTTTAAAACATCATAGGAATGATTGGAAAGGGAGCTACATATTGAATTGGAGGCATTGCTTTTGTGTTGATGATAGAAAGGAATATGTATATACATATAGAAATCATTTCACTTAAAGTGAAATAAATTGGGAAGGAAAGGAAAATGGTTTCAAAGGTGCTCTTCAGTATGCTGCTGAATTCATAGAATCATAGAATAGTTAGGGTTGGAAAGGACCTTAAGATCATAACGTTCCAACCCCCCTGCCATGGACAGGGACACCTCACACTAAACCATCTCACCCAAGGCCTCGTCCAACCTGGTCTTGAACACTGCCAGGGATGGAGTATTCACAACCTCCCTGGGCAGCCCATTCCAGTGCCTCACGACCCTAACAGGAAAGAATTTCCTCCTTATATCCAAGCTAAACTTCCCCTGTTTAAGTTTTAACCCGTTACCCCTTGTCCTGTCACTACAGTCCCTAATGAGGAGTCCCTCCCCAGCATCCCTATAGGCCCCCTTCAGATACTGGAAGGCTGCTATGAGGTCTTCACGGAGCCTTCTCTTCAGGCTGAACAGCCCCAACTTTCTCAGCCTGTCTTCATATGGGTGCTCCAGTGCCCTGCTCATCCTCGTGACCCTTCTCAGGACTTGTTCCAACAGTTCCATGTCCTTTTTATGTTGAGGACACCAGAACTCCTTTCCTTTGAATTGATCTCAGTCCAACAGTTCCATGTCCTTTTTATGTTGAGGACACCAGAACTCCTTTCCTTTGAATTGATCTCAGTCCAAAATTCAAGTCTGTTTTTTCTTAACATTCAGAAATGAGTATGGATTTGTTAGTTTGGGATACTGGAAGAATCAAGGTTTGGATTTGTCTCATCTATGATTGATGGAAGGCTTACAGAAATATAAATTTAATCTAGATTTGTCATTTGTGGCTGAATGTAACTTTACAGATGTCATCTGAAAAGTTGTCTGATGTTTGAAGTACAGTATAAAATACACACAGCATGTAATGCTAACTACTACTTTCTGAGCGTATAATGCAAAAAATATACTTTCAGCAGTTGCATAGAAAAGTAGGTTATTAATAGAATTTTAAGAAAATTATTTTATTAAAATAGTTAAAATACTTCTGTAAGGAACTTTTGGGATTTTTTTTTAAGACACTTCTTAAAACTTTTCCCTTAAAGAAGGGGAAGTAACTTATAAGGACATGGATGGCATTTGGTCTATTTTATTATTAAGCAGAAGCTCTTTAACATAAGTCATTTTGGATGCTAAATTATCTTCTGAAAGCCAAAGGGCTCTTCTGAAGAACTTTGTTCTATGAGCATTAAGGCTTCAGTGCAGCGGACTTAAAGAACCTGGATTTCATAATGTAATTGAAAATGACTCAATTTTATCCCAGTCAGAGGAAGGGATAGTATATTTTTCTAAGCTGAACATGTTCAAGACAGTTGACAGGTATTGCAGATGAGTCTAACAGTAAGTATTCTACCTTTTGAAGTAATGATTCTATTAAATAGTCATGGAAGTGCTTTACAAAGCAGAGGAAGTGAGAACAAACATTTGTGCAGATTTAAGCTCAGTGGCTATAACAAAAATGATGTCTTAAGTAAAGTTGGCTGATAAAGCTGACAAGAAAAGCCTCTAAGCAATAGCTTTGCTGATGGCACTGAAGGGTAATGAAAATAAAAATTAGAAATAAAGATTTTTCTACTCACTCCACTAAAATAGTGCAGGAGTAAGAAAGGCAGTAAAACAGATTCCTTGATGAAAACACGCCAACAAAGCATATTCTGAGGGTATGATTCTATGTGTTTGTTAGATATAGGTATCAAAACTTCAATATAGTAGAACTAGTCTGAAAAATGAAGTACATAAAATTCATAGCATTTCTTTTTATGCTGTGCTTTATCACTGGCTCTTTTTGTTACTTTCAGTAACTAAAGGAAATGCAGCTGGTTCTGAACTATTATTATGTCTTTCATAGAGACACTGTAGACATACTTTTAAAGATAAAGATAACTAAAGATGAGTTTGAGACTTCTAGCTTGTTCTTCCTATATTATATTATGTTACATTATATTATATTACATTACATTATGTTATTTCCAAATATACTCATCCTGTGTAATTTCAAGGCCAGATTAAAAGGCCAGAAAATAACTGCATTTTTTTTTGAAGCAGAACTAAGTGTAGGTCCTGTCATCCAAATAACCATAAAGCTGTCAATGGAAACTTTGCTTACTGTGCTTCCTGATAGGATTGTTTATGGTTGACCACATGGTCCATTTAGTTCATTACTATGTCTTGTGCTTGCTTCATCAGAAGAGCTTGAGATCAGGTTAAGAGAATATGTCCAAGCTCAGCAGTAGTAAACTTCTCCCTAGTTCCTGCAGACATTTCAAAGATTCAAAGCACAATGACTTCTGTCTTTTTCCTATCTTTGTGTTATTGTTTCTGAGCTGTATTTGATCACATATTATTTGTGATGTCTTAACATGTTTTACTGAAATGCTTCTACATCTTGCACTTCTTGCCTGCCAACAGAAAAAAAAAAACCAAGTTGTAAAATGCTACAGATAACAAAAATTGAGAGTAAGCACTTCAGGGTACAACAGTGAAGCAATGAAATGGTTTTCAGTAGCAATTAAACCTTGTGAAAAGTTTTTACACATGGAATTCTATTTTTAACACTATCCACATATAGAAGATCTGTAGAAAACTGGAACATCTAATACCTAAGGCAAATCAAGATGAAATAAAGACATAGAAGTGAACAGAATACTCATATTTCCAGGTAGAATTTTCTGTAAAGTGCAGGTAGGCATTAGCTGAACACCTGGTAAATTGCAAATTCAAAATTGCAGGTTTTTGTTCCAAGGACATCCTTAGCTCATGTCATTCTTTTTACAAAATAAGTAAAAGGTGCCATTTCCAGAATTGTGGAGGAAATATTCCAACTATATATTTGCCCAAATTTCATCTTCTGTTGGAGATCCTTCAACAGTTCCTTGATTTAAAAAAAACAAAACTACCTAACGTCAAGGTAACTGGTAATATTTCTCTCTTTTCAGTTGCTACTCCTCCCTCCCATAGTGGTTGCAATGTGAAATCAGACTGCTTGGGATTTTGGCAGTCTTTTGCTTTTGTACTAAATCATCCATTTGTCCAGACGCTTTCAGAATTCAAGTAGATGCAATCTATCTGTGAGCTCATTCTTTTATTCTTATGTAGGGGATTACACACACACAAAAAAAGGAAACTGCCACCTTTCTGCACAAGTAAATCAATTATCTTTTTTTTAACACAATTTTTCATGCAACTAGCATATGGTTCCTATGTATATGTGTCCTGGGTTCAGCAGCAGCAGTCATTTTTCTCCTTCTTTGTAGCTGGTGCAGTGCTGTGTTTTTGATGTTCAGCCTGGGAACAGCGCTGATAACACTGATGGTTTTAGTTGCTTCTCAGTAATGTTTACTCTGACCAAGGACTTTCTGAGCCTCATGCTCTGCCAGGGAGGAGGAGAAGCCGGGAGGAAGCGGAGACAGGACACCTGACCCAAACTAACCAAAGAGGTATTCCATACCACAGCACGTTATGCCCAGTATATAAACTGGGGTCAGTTACCCGGAAGGGCTTGATCACTGCTTGGTCGGGCTGGGTATCAGTCGGCGGGTGGTGAGTGGTTGTATTCTCTTCCCTTGTTATTTCCCTTATCATTATTACTATTGGTAGTAGCAGTAGTGACTTGCTTTATACCTTAGTTACTGGACTGTTCTTATCTCAACCCATGGGAGTTACATTCTTTCGATTCTCCTCCCCATCCCTCCAGGAGCGTGGGGGGAGTGAGTGAACAGCTGTATGGTTTTCTGGGTTCCCAGCTGGGCTTAAACCACAACAATATGCATGTGTAGTGAAGCCTCATAAAGTTGTCTGTAAAAGCTACATAAAAGCTATTTAATTGCTATTTTTGTCTCTGTTTTTGAGGTTCTTCAGCATTAACCATTTTCAGAATGAATGATGCCATGTAGGTTGTGTTCTGTTTTTACTGATTACTGCTCAGTGATCTTTACCTCCTACGTATAGACTAAAACAACTTCAGAAAAGGCAGTAGCACTCCCTGTTGCTTGTTCTCACTAACTGGAACTCACCTACAAAGATTATAGTGAAAATAAAGATTCTGATGCTTTACAACATATGAAAGTATTCCAATCCCCTTTTCAATGTCATTTGACTGCAAGTGAAGAAAAATGACAGGCCAAGGAAGTGCCAATTATGAAAATCTAACCTGATTTTGACAAATGTGCACAGAATTCTCCTACTCTGGGAAGAATTAAAAAAAAAAAAATAGTGGTGTCTTAAGGGGCCGTATCTGTGTGGGTAAGATAAATGCTTAATAATGTGCAGTTATACAGATCAGCCTTCAGGAGCATTCTGTTGTATTGTGCCTGCAGTGCACTTAGTATAACAGGCAGCCCGGGCTTTTTACAGGCCATGTGTTCCTTTCAGTTTATCATTGGTTGCTCAATGTTATCTTTCATTTGTGAGAATGACAGTCAAATACAGATAACACAACATGACAAGGTATTGAAAGACTGGTTGGGGGTTTATGTGTTTTGTTTTTTTTGGGGGGGGGGGGTTAATAATTAATGTTCCTGTTTATTTGAGTTTTCATGTTGAGCTTGGTTTTGCCTTGAGGTGACTGAATAGTATTCTAAGGGGGTTTTCAGAGCCTGTATTATAGGAGATAGAGGTGTTACTAGAAGCAGCTCTCTAAAGAAGGAATCCATGCAGCACTTTTATTAAAGATAAATGGCATTTAAGTTAGTTATCAGTCATTACACATCATGAATTCTTCTTTATTTCTCTTTGTAACCAGGATCCTCAGTCTGCTGTATGTTATTTTGTATTTGGTTGAAGATTTTCCCAATAAAATCTCTCTGTGCGGGTGTGTGCTGTGCAGAGAAGTTTCTGTTAGATGTATGAGTAGGAGGTTGCAGAGCCCTTCTGTACAAGAGTAATCATGGGTAACAGCATGGCCATGAAGAGATTGATTTTTTGGACTAGTTTTCCATTTTAGCTTGAGACTCATTGTAGCATGCAATGTGTTCCATTCTGCACAGCTTTTGCTTTTAAGATTTTAAATCTCACAAAACTCATAAACCCATTTGTATTTTTGTACTCCTTGCTTGTCTTGTAATACACTTTGAATTAAAATACATTCTAAACCAAATTACTTTTAGCTATGGTAATTGTATGCAGCCTGAACAGGTTTGCCAAATCCCTTTCATATTTAGTTTTTTTTTTATTTAAAAGAGGGGGGGAAATGTAGTAAGATATCACAGAGAATCACCTGAAAAGGCGCTGATCTGCTACTTAATATGTTTTTCTACTTTTTTTGCAAAACTGTTGCTTAAAAACCCTTTTTGGTTCATTTGAACTTAATTCCACTCATCTGTGGAAATGAGAAGCCACTATACATATTACATTTTGAAAGTCCTGAAGTGCTCAGAATTTATCTCGAGGTCTAGTGTGCAATGAGGATAGCAATGGAATACTTCAGAATGGAAGGGACCTCTGAAAAGGGCCTAGTGAAATCCTCTGCTCAAAGCAGGGTTACCAGCAAGATTAATACAGGTTGCTCAGGGCTGTTTCCAGTCAAGATTCAACTACCTCCAAAGACAGAGATCCCGTAAGTCTTCAAAGAGGTGATCACTCTTGTTGACATTTTCTTAGGACCAGGAAACATTTTCATTCTTGCAGTTTCTGTCCACTGACTCTTAACTGTTCTCTCTTCTCACCTCGGAGAAAAGTCTGTCTCTGCCATTTCTGTAACTCCCATTCTCCAGTGGAAGGCTGAAACAGCTGCTTGTTTTGCCAGCACTTATTTTCTCCAAGCTAAACCTACTGAACCATTTCAGCCTCTCTTCATACCTCATATGTTTCACTCTCTCGTGTGATGAGAGTATCTAAACCAGGTCTGAGTACCCGAGATGCAGTCTGGAAAGTGTCGAATAGAGAGAAAGAAACCCAGTTTTTGTCCATTGCAACAAACTGATACTAAATGGCAATAGAAAACATACAGTATCTGGGGCACTGGTTATATCCAGCACTCTGTCTTCATCTAGCCTGTGTTAAAAGCATGAAATCACAGATACTGAAGTTCACGTAAGTCTCTGCTAAGACTTATAAAATCATTTCTGTTCCCTAAATGATCTCAACATGCACAAGAATGGCAGCCCTTTTATGTTTCTTCCCTAATCTTGTAGGTGGGCTGTAAAATGGTGGACAATTACAAGACAGGTCATGACAGAGTTGGGGACCTGTGTTAAATACTTGCTTTTAGTAACTGTGTACATAAGTGAACCAGGAAAACAGTGGATAAAGCCCTATCTGGTCACGAATTGTATGTTTTGCTTATGTTAGTTTTAATGACTAAAATGAATCTTGATGGCTTTCCTAGACTCTGTAATAAAGAGTGAATACTTTGAGTGATATTTCAGTATCAGTGGAAAAAATCTGATTTCAGTTTTGTCAAGACAAATACAATCTAATTTGGGATACAAATGCAGTTTCTGATTCAGCATTATAAGTGGTCCTATTTGAATAGAAAAAGGAACAGATTTCTTGTTCTTCATGTTATTTAGATTGAAAGGTATTTCTAATGCATCATTTGTTCTGTTATTGTGCATCATGGCAGGCTTGATGTAATTATTCCTAACTTTCCTATAGAAATAGGAATGTTCCTAGAAAAACTAACTGTAAAACTCCCTGTGGATAGCTTGGTCCATTGTTTCCTTCTCCCAGAGTATCTCTGACACTAAGTAAGGTATATAATGGCAATATGGTTAAAGAAAGACACTGTCAGAATCCATATCATTCCACAGAAGTAACCTTATTTTCTATTTTAAACCCTTCTAACTTGTCATGCCCTACCATGGATAATATTCTGTTCTTGTTAGTTTAACAAACAGTAATAATTAATTTTGTAATAAGACCATAAACAATATTTTCATCAAAGCACTAGTACAGTACAATCCATGTAAGTCTTAGGTGAATTCAGCCACGTTCTTTGTGAGTGATAACTTGCACCACATACTTTGTTTTTATTCATTTTTAGGGACTAAAGAACACTTGTGCTTTGTGAGAGGATACACCATTAAACTTCTTCAAGGTAAGCTGCTTTTTCTTCCTTTTTTATGTAGATCTTCAGTGGGAGACTATTGAATAATTAACTTTGCTTTCAGCTAGACTGTGATTATTGTTGTTTGAAATATTTTAACATGGTTTTAACTTTATTTTTGTTCATTTCTATACCAGTAGCACTTTTTGTTCACATCCTAAGGGATCTGGGGCCTTCATTTGTCATATTCAGGTTTTTTAACAAGATGGTAGGGGATACTGTTACAAATTTTGGTATTTAGCAATGATGTTTTCTGTGATGTACTTCAACTTTTGGTGAACACTGAAGGAAAGCATGCAATAAGTGAGTAGTAGTAGGTTTTTTTTTTGGCAGAGAAACCTTTGAAAGAGGAAAAAAAGATCCCAGCTGCAGTGGGAACATAAAGAATTTATGTTCTATGTGTTGAGAATTTAAAGAGAAAGGTCAAAATCTAGAATAAAGGTTTTTGCCGTTTAACCTTTGTGAGGTTTCAGAACTGTAAACAGACTTATTTGGCTTTTATGATACAATTAGGAATTGTAGGAAATTAAGTGCTGCTTTGGTCATCTTTGCAAAATCTTTGTAAGCCATGCAAGGTTTAGCTATAAATCTTTTAGTTTCTGTGTCAGATTCTACCATGATCACAATGGCTTGAGATTTTGAAAAACAATGAAAGATAGCATATGTCTTCAGAATTAGTCTGCCCTCTGTCTGCCATGGGAATCAGCCTCAGCAGGAAGATACTATGAGATACATAAATCAGGAAAGTAACCTGTCTGTCTCCTGATTTGGTATGCTAGAATACAGCTGTCTCTGTAGTAATATGTTCTTTAATGCTTCGTTGAACCTGTTCTTAGCGAAATGAAAATGCATGTGTTTGACACGCTTGCGGAGTTGGTTGTTGATCAAAATAGATTTTTCCTAGCTTTTTTTCCTCATTCATCTTTTCATGGGCATCATTATCCATTACTTACAATTATTCTGAGAACAATGCCTGAAGCTTCTTTCCTAAACTTGTTTGAATATGCCGACATAGTGTACACAGAGCAGTGTCCTTTTGGACATAGGATAAAAAATTAATAAGACTTCAATTTTTTTTTTAGTTGGCTCCAGCTGCTGGACTTCTCCGTGTATTAAAATCACTTAAAATCTCTTCTCAGTTCTGTTCAGAAGGCAAATTATCTCTGAAGGGTAGATAAAGTAAAACTGGCACATCTAGTATTTCTTGATGAGGTGTGTGTATTAAAATATGCAGTTCTCTGAGGCAACATATAAAACATGCATAATCTACTATAATGAGATTCCAGAAAATACCATTATCAAGGGCTGAACTATTTGGAAGTGATATGAAGGAATGTGCAGTGCAGGCCTGACTTCTGTGAAATGAATGTTGGTGTTATCTGTGTAGTTCAGGACAAAATATACCTGTTACTATTGGCGCTACTTGCATCGCAGTGTGCAGATATATACTGTAAAACCACTGCAGTAGAAACAGGCCCTCTTCCTGTGCTCCTCTTTTCGATAAAGTGTGATAGAAGGTAGAAGAGGGAAGAGTACCCTTATTACCAATATTTTGCAGGGGTGAAGAAGGCTGAAAGATGTTAACAGAATTTATCTGGCATTAGACAGATACATGACAGGATAATGAACATTTTTAAAATCTATGTTCTCACAGCATAGTTCCATATTCTGCATACTTTAAAATTTTGAATGAGATAGAATGATGTTATAAGGGGAATAATTATTTTGCTCAGAATTGCATTACCCTTTTGTCCTTGTTTAAGTCCAGCTGGTAATTCAGAAACAACCAACCACTCTCTCACTCCCCATTTCCCTCCTTCCAGCTTCCGGAGGGATGGGGAGGAGAATCAAAAGAATATAACTCCCATGGTTTGAGATAAGAACAGTCCAGTAACTAAGGTATAAGACAAATCACTACTGCTACCACCAATAGTAATAATGATAAGGGAAATAACAAGGGAAGAGAATACAACCGCCTACCACCACCCACCGATACCCAGCCCAACCCGAGCAGTGATCAAGCCCTTCCGGGTAACTGCCCCCAGTTTATATACCGGGCATGACGTGTTGTGGTATGGAATACCTCTTTGGTCAGTTTGGGTCAGGTGTCCTGTCTCTGCTTCCTCCCGGCTTCTCCTCCTCCCTGGCAGAGCATGAGACTCACAAAGTCATTGGTCAGAGTAAACATTTCTGAGCAGCAAGTCAAACCGTCGGTGTTATCAGCGCTGTTCCCAGGCTGAAAGTCAAAAACACAGCCATGGTTTTATCTTGAGTGGGGGTAGCATTCAGCTTGTATCTGGTGTCACTGTGTGGCTGGACTCAAGCCTCAAATGCCTCCATGGGCTGACATGTTTCAGCCTTCCATTTAGGCACACAATTAAAAACCACCTCTTTAGAAATACAAATTGAAAGCGTGCCTGACCAAAGCAGACAGCTATCTGTCTTTCTAGTCACAGTGTAATGGTTAGATTACACACCTAGGAAATCCAGGAGTTTAAACTCCATTGCAGCCAGCATGCAAACTCTAGGTTTAAGCATTTAATAGGTTCAAACAAGAATTACAATCTCCCATGGACATCAGGAAAGGAAATCAGTTGGCATGTTGCATACTCATGATTTAGTTCCAATTGATATTCACCAGGAGTAGGTGGCAAAAGAGGTTTCCTGATTCTTAGATATTTTACTTGCCTCAAAGGAGGGAGAAGAGACGGTTCTGATGGGAAAAACATGAGTGTGAGCCCACAGTAATTGTTATAGTACCTCACACACAGATCTATTATCACAGTATATATTGAGCTGAGTGTTAAAGGTAATGTGTGATCTATTTATTTTTAGAGGGCACTTTTAACTTACTTTGACTTCATGTTATTTGTTATTCTAAGTACTTTTTTAACAAATTACATGGTAGTAACTGGGCTTACTACTTGTCAAATCATACATGGAACACACCCTTGCCCCCTGGACAACCATACTGCTTAGGTAGTAACACTCAGAAATATCTCCATAGGGAGTCATGTTTCATAGGAGAGGGAACACCATATGGAACTTAATCTTCCATTGCCATTCATTCATTTAATTTTATTTATCATCTAAGAAATGAATTATGAAGGATCCTTCTTGTGCACACGGGAAATGTGCTAAAACACTTTCACTTGTATAATTTGGAGATTGTATAGATACAGCTTACAAACATCTATATGCTGTGCATTAATATTAATAATAAAACCAAGAATATATTGCTTATAAACTTGCCTTCCTTGTTTATAATGTAGTGGAAAGTTGAAGGTGCAGGATTTGGGAGGGCTGAATATTACGTTTTATCATTTATTTTTTCTGTAATTTCAGATTCTTATTTCCTGTGTATGCACAGATTTACTGCTGTAGCAAATCTGGCTTTCAGGTCTTCGTTGTTCTGCTGGGTTTTTTAAGTGGGCATGAAGGCATTTGTAGCATTACTAAGAAAAACATGAATCCGAAATCTACAAAGATTCTGCCTATAAAGAGAAAACACATTACATTGTCAAACTTAATGTCTATTCTTTAATACAAATCTGGGTTGAATAAGAAACTAAATGCAGAGTTTTGAGTTTCTGAATTTCTCTGCCAGTGAAGCAATAACTGTCTTCATTGTAGGTAAGTACTAGTTGTACTGTTTCTGTAACAGTGGATACCTTGTGAGTGCTACCATCAATTCCTGTCAGACTTCTGGAACAACATTGCTGGCATTTTCTGTGAATACTGTTGAATTCACCTTGTGATTTGAAACACTACTGAACTTATTTAATTAAATGACAGCATAAAATTAATAGAAAATAATATTATCTGCTGTCTTTATTATACAGCCATCATACCAGTGTTACAACTAACAGAAAAAAAAAATCACTGATTTCATAGCATGCTCATCATCCTCTCTTTGCCCCCTTTTTTGCCTATGTGCTTGCTTGTGTTGAAAAATGTAACCCTTTTTGTTATTTTTTAAAATAACTCTTGCAAAATGTAACCCTTATTTGTTATTTTAAAAGATGACTGCAAACTGTAACCAGAGAAGTAAGTAGAACAATAGTTACTGTGGGAGCTGCATAACTGGCTGCACTTAAAGCAGAAAGAGAAGTAAATATATCACAACAAAACCCAACATTTTTTTTTTGTTGCACGTGCCTCAAGGTGTCTGTGGCCACAGTTTGTATTGACTGAAGTGCCTTTTATCATTCTTAAACATAGTCCTGCTATACACAATCAATATTTGGGTTGGGGGGGGGTATCTTTTTGACAAAACCTGCAAGATTGATTACCTGCATAAGTATTATTTTTAGAAATAATTCATCAAGGCTTTACAGACACCTTGATATCTGTGGTAATATTAACACATCTTGAGCATCCCCTCTCATCCCCATCACAGCTAATCTTGCTTTAGTCTTTTACAACATGGAAAGAATTAACATATCAAGGCAAATGAAGCAAGAGCTGGCTATGCTGATACGTCCTTAAATTCATATAAACTATTCAGCATCTCTTCATAACAATCTGGAATTCCCTGCACAACACAGGCATGTTTTTGCAGATGTAGCTGGTCAGAGCTATACAGTTTAAACAGCTGAAGTGTAATGGAAGAAACAAGTATAGCTTGGATGAAGATAAAATACTCAAAGATATAGTAAATTATGACAGTATCTTGTTTCTTTACAGTAAGGCTGTACACAATAAGGCTAATAAGAGTATCATTAATTCCCATGTGAAAAGTCAGTCTAAGATAAAAAGACAATTTCAATGAAGAAAGCAGGTCAGTTGCGTATCAGGGTAGAAGCACACCATTCTATCACAGAGCAGCTAGCCATTCTATACCTCTTTCAGAAGAATAAAATCTGTATTTTCATTTGCCAAATTTTTCTTGAACCATGAAAATTACTGTAAGTGAGTATGAAGATGAGAACAGAGGAACTGAATGTTCTCAAATGGAAGTTCAGAGGCAATTTAAGATGTTCTTTTAAGAAGTAAAGAATGTCCTGATGAAAAGATTCTCACTGTGTGGCTATACAAGCGTTCCAGACAACTTATAGTTGTTCTTATTCTACAATTGTGTTTTTAAAGTTTATAAATATCTTAAATTGGTTGCTGTTGCTATGAAGGCCAATTTGTAAGAGTAAATTCTTGTAGCTTCAGAAGCTTCAGTGCAGTGTTTTCATAGTTGGTTACTGTGGATTGTTAGACTCATTTCTGGATCGGTGTTAACCTGGTAGATGTGGGGTTTTATTTGGCCTGAGTTAACTTAATGTGCATTGCAATCAGATGGGATGATTTCATAGGGGATGGATTGCTTACTTTAATCTTTCTGTAATATTTTAATATTACATTTTAAAAGTGTTCACCATCAGTTGCTCTTGTACTTATTCTTTTCTACAGATAGGAATTGAAACTACTTTTTTACCCACAACAGAATATTTCTTTTGCTTTATAGATATTATGTATTTATTGGTAGTCCTCTGTAGAACTCCCTTTCAAATTTAAAATTTGGGTCATTCTGTGGAAGCAACAGAGCTTATGAGTTAATTATAAGCTGTGAGACAACATGTATTATTTTGAGAGGAAATTGTATGGGAATGTAAAGGCAGCAATGATAATTATATGGTAATTTTTGTTATAAATCTGGAATGCTCATATGATAACTTATATCTTGCCATATGCATCTTAAGATGAATATCAGTGCTACTTCAATATAAGCCAGAAGAGATACATATGATAAATGGGAAAGGCATTACATTATACTGAAATAATATAGGGCAGAGCCAGCTTAAAGTGATAATGGCTCTCTAGGTTCCCAGATCAGTCAGGCCCTGAGGTCGTGTAAGTCCTGTAAGAATTATATTGCCAGGGTAAGAAAGCCTGGAATTTAGTATGAGTTGTGAAGGAAGAGGGTGTCCACGTCAGTGGGGCTCTTCAGGCAGGAGTGCAGAGCCACAGCTTGGGTTGTTGGTAAGTATGCTGCTACCACCTGGGGCAAATCTTGTACTGGGGGAAATAAGCTAAATTCTGCAAAGATGAATTAGTAACTGAGGAGAACACTCCCCCATATGCTTCAGATTAGCCATTTTACCATTTCTTACACTCTGGTTTCAAAATCTGAGAGTGAAGCATTGTGAATGCTGTGTTTTTATTTTTGATTTCTGCAGCAAGCAGCAATGAAAATTCTGACAGCTTAATCAGCCAGTATTATGTAAATGTGTGGAAAATTACAGTAGTTGATGTCTGAAGAGGGTTGTCAGCACTGAAAGTGTTTATAATGTTTGATAAAGTTATGGGGTTTTTTTTGCAAACAAGTAAAAATAAAGCCTGTATCACCACAATTTTCCATACGCTTATGTTTTGGATTCTCAGTGAAATTCGGATTCAACTGAATCAGTTTTGCTTAATCAGTGCAACTAGATGGCCAGTGTTTAGTGCTAGCATAATATATTGTATTGATTTTGTTCAGACTTTTCAATCATTGCTATACAATGACAAAAATGGAGTAAAAAAGCTGGCAAAAGGCAGAGACAATCATCACCACCCAAGTACCTTCAACACAGTGATTACTGGGCAATACGTGACATGCTGTCAGCACTGTTAGCTTGATGTGGAAAAATGTATAACAGAACCTTGTGTTGGCACCTTGGTTGTGTTGTTGCTGCTGGTTTGAGGTGTCACAGAAGCAGGCATCATCTGATAGAGTAGCAAAAGACATGGGTGCAACTCAGAGTCTGGAAAAGGGTGAGCTGTTGTATCATTGCTCCTTGGGAAATTTCTTCATGGTATATTGATATTAGCAGGAAAGTAAGTGCAGCTTAGGAGATACTTTGATCTGTGAAGTCAAGTACAGATGCAGATTTTCTCCTGATGTGCTATACTATCTTATTCTTCATGTTGATTTCACAGCATGGTGAGAATATAGTAATTCAAGCTTGTGCAGCAGCTTCATCTTGATGAGGGGGTTTATTATGCTGAGACTTCTTGTACAGGTTTTCATCTGAAAGAGGCAAAAACATATGAGAAAGGTAAGGATAATGCCTTAGAAAGCGCATTAGCTTTGGGGGGGGGTCCAATTTGTGCTCCAGGGGTAGTGTAATCACATGGAAGAAAGCAAAAAATATAGACCTACTTATCTGCCTCTACAGAGAGATGTATACATGCAATGTCTTCACCGTGTTTTGGTTTTAGTCATTCTTTGACATCTAACAGCTAAATGTCTCTGAAATATCCTAAGTGAGCTTTAAATGAGACTCAGAAATAGCCCTTCCACTCAAAGAAAAACCATTATGGGTTTAAGTATTAACAATTAAATGCATTAGAATAAGCTATAGTTATCTAAGGCTTATACAATTCAATGCAGAACCTGGAACGCAAGAAGCTGCGAGTGGAAAATAGTTGCAGTATTTCCATCAGGGGGTGTTAAAAACAAAGCCAGCATCTCTTTGTGTTGATGAGTGTATCAGGATTTTTGCTGATTTCACTGTGAAAAGTTAAAGAATATTAAGGTTGTCATACTGAAATACATTTGTATTGCACTTTGGAACGTAGTACGCTTATACATACACAAAAAAAATAGGCTGACAGTATAACAAGGATCCAGTACTGTGGTTCAGAACCGTTAAATATAGTTTAATTATTTCAGTAGTTTTCCACCCTGTTGATTACATTCCATTTTTGGCAGGCCCCCAAAAATACTAGTTCATGGATTCTTTAATTTAGTTTCAGCCTTGAAGCCTGTGTGGTGTGATTCAATGAACTTTGATTTTTCATTACTCTAAAATTGGAAGCTGAAATGTAGTGATGCATATAGATTCAGAGAATGGCTTGGGTTGGAAGGAACCTCAAAGATCATACAGTTCCAACCCCCTGCTATGGGCAGGGACACCTTCCACTAGACCATGTTGCTCCAAGCCCATCCAACCTGGCCTTGAACACTGCCAAGGATGGGGCAGCCACAGTTTCTCTGGGCGCCCTGTGCCAGTGAAGAACTTCTTCCTAATAGCGAATCTAAATCTACCCTCTTTCAATGTAAACCTATTCCCACTTGCCCTGTCACTATATTCCCGTGTAAAAAATCCCTCTCTATCTTTCCTGTTAGCCCCTTTAGGCACCAGAAGGTTGCTATCAGGTCTCTCCAGAGCTTTCTTTTATCCACTTAACCACCCTAACTGTCTTCAGAGGAGAGGTGCTCCAGCTCTTGAACTGTGGCCTCTTCTGGACTTTCTCCAACAACTCCACATCTTTCTTATGTCGGGGGACCCAGAGTTGGATGCAAGACTGCGGGGGGGCTCTCCCCTTAGCTCAATAGAGGGGCAAATTCCCCTCTCTTGACTTGCTGCACATGCTCTGGGGAATGCAGCCCAGGATACGGTTGGTTTCTAGGCTCAAGTGCACACTGCCAGGTCATTTTGAGCTTCATATTGGCCAGCACCCCCAAGTCCTTCTTCTCAGGGCTGCGCTCCACCCATTCTCTGCCCAGCCTGTGTTTGTGCTTGGGACTGCCCTGACCCTGATGCAGGACCTTGCACTTGGCTTTGTGAAACTTCATGAGATTTGCATGGGTGAACTCATATAGAACTGCATTTCACAGAGTGAAAATTTTTCTTTTTGGTGTTGTGGGATACCTGCATTGTTTTGAAATAGAAGAAAATACTTTTTTTTTGCAAATGAGCATAAAAACAGCTATTTGATGTTGTGTGCTGCCTCAGATAGCCTTTTTGGGTACAATTGCTTTAGCTCCCGAACCTTTCTGCAGTGTTAACACACACCAAGAAAAATAAATGGACACTCAATTATCTGAATTACATTCAGAGAGATTCTCATTTCTGTTTTAAGAAAGAAGAAACTTAAATAGGGGAGAACCATTTCTGTGCCAATTACTACTAACAGAGCTGCTGAGAGAAATGGGCAATTCAGGTTGGAGTTTGGGGGGGTTGGTTGTTTGGGGTTTGTTAGGTTTCTTAGTTTGTTGTCAAAATTCTTATGTATTAGAACATTAGATTACGGGGGTGGGGGGGGGGGAATGCACTCAGTTCAACCTCTGCATTTGAATTTACTCCTCAAAAAACAGCGTACAGAATTTAGAAAATGATGCTGCTACTTTGAAGTGGGAGATGAATTCCAGGAAGAGAGCAGGCAAGGTGTTTCTGTGGTTCCTATTTACATTTTCAATTATGCCCTGTTTTAAGATCAGTGTATTGTATTGCAAACACTGCACAGTGAATAGAACTATATTTTTCTGCTTTCTGAAGTAACCAATGTGTATTCACTCCCGTGGCATGGCTAAGCATTTACTGCTGTCTCTACAGAAATAGTCTTAGAATTGATGAAATCAAGTACACTGCCATTCCCTGTTTAGGAGTAAGCGAAATGTATACGCTTTATGGATTTTGCTTTGCAGACTACCTACAGACATCTGTGATGTAGCTTTCATGATGAGAACATATTCTGTTTCCTCCACTCATACACGACCAATTTTAATAAACCATAAAACAATTTTACATCGAAAAGTTTTCTTACTTTAAAAATTCTTTTTAAGATACGTACATCCTTAATTTACTGCAAGATAATGAGACTTACTCTTCCACGTCACCAAGATGCTTATGTTCATTGTTAAAATAGTTGCATATTTTCCATCTTTTGTATTTGGTGTCTGGAAGTTAAGATGGCTCTGGGTGTTTGAGAGAATAAATTAAAACCTTCAACACAGTGATATCAAATGCTTGGTCTAAATTTTCAAGTGTAAGAACTGAAGGGTGTATTTTCTGTATTCATGATAAAATATAGTCCAAGCTAAGTGAGTTTCAGATGTATTAAATGAGTCTAGCACCCATCTACTGCCTTACAATGCCAACTTTTATAACAACACTCATTTCCGTGACTTCAAAACCTTGATTTTTTCATCAGGGTGTTCCAGTCTCCATTCACTTTTTCTGTGCATGTGTGAGTGCAAGTGATGTTCTTAACTGACTGAAGGGAAGGAAAAATGCAGTGTCTCTTGGAGTGGAAGTGGGAAGAGCTGCAGTAATATTCTAAATAATAGTTCCTCTTTATCTAGTTTTCTTATTAAAATGAGAAAATGGCTGCTCTGTGACTATGCATGTCTCCTGCCACTACACAGCTGTAATCAAAAGTCTTTGTCTATTGAATTTTTCCCAAACTCTACTGCATAAGGAACTTCTGTCAGAGAGGATCATTTAAATCAAAATTGATGGTACCATATTCTCTAAACAGGAAGTGTCTTTATTAAAAACCAAAACAAACCCACAAGCAAAAGAAACCAAAATCTTTCATTTGCATTAAAATATGACCTACAGCTGTAATATATTTTTAAGATAATTATGTCAGGGGAAAAGAAAGAATCCTTATAAAATTAAGGATTTATTGACATTATTCTTGAGATGAAAAGTATTCTAAACCATATGTTTCTTAGATGCACTTTGCATGAATATGAAGTGCTTTCAATTATTAGGAATTATTCCCGGCTCCACGGTTACGTACTTCTGCTCAAACTGTCTGTTCAAAAATTGACAGCCAGATTATTTGCCCTGTTTGAGTGCAACTGCAGAGATTGTTATTAAAAAGTACAAGCATTCAGAAATCCAGGCTTTTCACTGGAATTCCATATTAGCATTTTAAATTGTATTGTTAACGATATCAAAGCACATGCTAAAGAAAACCGTAGCTCCTTCTAGTGACCAACAGCCCTGTTTGAAGATGCTTAAATTGTTTTCCAGAGCATGTCAAAGGACAAAGTTGTGAACCTCTCAGGTGTTCCTTACGTTATTCCAAAGTAGAGATGAGTGCTGTTCTGGCTTCTTTCCTGATTTTCATATTCTTCATTAAAATCACCTAATAAAGAGCAAGTTGAATCTGCATTTAGATTAAGGAGATTTTTCCAATAATAAATTACTAGCTTTTATTCTGTTTAGCAAAACAGGAACCAAAGAAATATTAAAGCTCTTGTTTCTATGAGTCTTATCTTTTCAGACAAATACCAGATTTCCCAAATTTCCTTCATTTGACTGCAGGATGAGGATAACTGCACTCCACAGCAGCTCTGCTAGATCTAGTTGGAACTACCTGAAACCAGTTCTGTAATGAGGAAAATAGTGCAGGTTTATAAAATGAAGACTTCATTTAAAATAAAACAACCAACCAAAACTAACAGCAAAACCCCAACAAAGGCTCAGACTGAAATGACTAGCGATGCATGCCAGGACACAAATTGAAAGTATTATATACATTACCCTCTTGTTCTGTTATTCTTAGTTGATCGCCTTCCTGGTATATAAAAATATCTTAACAAAGTACATCAGGCTTGAAGAGAACTACTGGCAATAATCTGAAGGATTCTGGGGCATGTTGTTAATGATCATTCCCACTCCTTCCCTCATTATCAAGATACCTTAACAAGTTGTCTACAGTTCAGAGTTAAGATCTTTTGCCTTCCATCCATTTTCTGTTTCACAGTTTCTTGTGCAGTGCTGCTTCCAAATTTGACACAGCAGTCTTTTGCAAAAAAAAATGTCTGCACTGTTCTGCCAACTCCATAACTTGGTACAGATGAGGTGATATTAGACAGGGAGGCCCTTGCTCGTGTCCTTAAGACAGACTGCCATTCTTATGAACTTAGGCCAAGCAGCTTTGGCTGACTTAAAGATGCTTCTTTGCCCAGTCCACCAAGTGTTTCTCTGTTACTTCAGTCTTTGCAGTCCCCATATAAGAGTGACTGCTTAGAGTGGCTTTTCTACCAAACCTAATCGCTTCTTGTTTGGGATGGGAAGCTGGGACTGTGATGTGTCACCCTAGCCTGGCCTTTCCTTCTAACTCTTTTCCTCATGGGAAATAAATAAAGGCTACTTTGTTATCCTAACTTAACAACAATCAATGAAATTAAAATTAACTGTCACCTAACAGAAATGCAAATGTAATCTGCTTTAGTCAGCTCTCTGCCCTTGCTCATCAACAGATACCCATAAAGAGCTCTCTGCCATACAAGATTGCCTTCTATTTATCTCTCTTTATCACTTTATTTCATCTCCTGGGAGTAGTGATGCCTCTTGATTCTTTACAGACCCTTCCTGACTTACGTCAGTAATTTAAGATGATGCTCATGACTTTCACCCAAAAAAAAGGCATTCAATATTCCTGGCAGTCAGAGCAATGAGATGTTGGGTAAAAAATGCCAGCAAAGTACTCTTCAGAAAAAAAATATACTAAAAATGGAATATAGAGATAATCTTATTTCAGCTTATTAATTATGCCCTGTAAGCAATGAATCAAATCACTTTGCTGTATAATACAATTACTGCTGTAATTTGTAGTCATTACAGTTTGTGCTGAGGTATAATTGTGTAATTCATTTTATGCAAGTTATTGACAGAGAAGGTCTTAACAACTTTAGCATGGAGACTTACTTTGGGTTTACTACAGTTTAATTTGCAGATGAAAAACACAATAGACCTAACAGCTTGTTGTGTCTACCTCTCATAGAGTCATTTAAGTTTGGATCATGCAGAAAAAAGAAAGATTAGAAAAAGAGATTTAGGGTAGAAGCATCACTACCTGGTACATCGTTCCCTTTATAGCCCATTGGGTGCTGTTGTGTTGGTGCATGGTGTCTTGTGTGCAGACTTAATTCCCTGGTCAGCAGTATTTTTATAACAGGTTGTTTGGAGACAGTAGGTGGCTTTTCCACACGCAGTGAATTACTTCAAGTAACATTTGATCAATTTGGCACAGTCTTCTGCATCTGAGTAATGTTTATTAAACCAATTGTGGTTTGATACAAATAGATTTTTAAGTTTCAGATCTCACATCTAAAAGGGAGCATAATAACTGCTGTTACAACTTAAGGAGTTGTTGCAGGGAAGGAAGGCACTCTTATAGTGTCCTCTACGCTTTCTTTGTTACTCTCCTGCTAGCTGACATCTGCCATCCTGAATGTTATTTATGGTTGGCTTTGTTGTTTTATTTTTGTCTTTGGTGTCCCTCTATAGAATTTTAAGAATGATTAGTTTCACACTTCTGCTAGCTCCTTCACAAATAACAGTGATTTTTTTTCCTTACCTAGTGTCTCTTCTTTTAAATTAAGGAGAGGGATAATGTTAAAAAAACAACAACAGAAGAAGATTGCCTTTTCGGATGTGTCAGTGTTCTACATATTACAACATACAGACGATGTAGACATCACTTCAGAAGATTTGTGTGGGTGATTTGTATAAAATGGCTCCTATTGAAAAAAGGTGAAGGGATGATTCTGAAAATCTGTCATGTGCTGTAGAACCGTTATCTTGGCAGCTTCTGGGCATTCAGATTATTCTGTTCTCAGTGGTAAATATACATCACTTGGGTCAAGTAAATTTAGTATATAATATTCCTACAAATTATATTTGAATGATGCTTTTTACTGGAGTCTTACCTGACTGTTGGGTACTTTGGATTTCTTATCTAACCTAGCAGTTAATTTTAAAATGCTTTATGAGGGTAAAGAGTTACTCCAGAGGCTTATAAATAGACCAGCTCTGGACTAACTTTTGTTTTCAGCCCAATTAAGATTGTGAAGGTTGAGAAACCCCTCAGTTACTCAGATGTTTCTGGAATTTGTCATTGTGGCAAAAAAAAACACCTTTACATTCAGCCTTAACATATTAAAAGTCAGAGATACATACACTCAGCCTCCTACATAGCATAATATTAAAGATATAAATGTTACAAGAGCAAGAAAATAGCTTATTGTACTGAGTTGTGTGCATGTTACTGTTTGCTTACGTCTGTAATATAATTTAATTTACATACACTGCATGAAGCTGCAATATAGTCATAAATTAAAGTGTTCAGTAATAATGATATTGTTTCTCTCTTCTTGATTAAAACCTTGGAATTCCCTTTCCTAACATTCCTCACTAGAGTCTTACAAGTCTGAAAAGGAGAGCTTACCATTATGGAAAAATCAATGGAGCAGGAAAAGGGAGAATATTAGCAGGCAAGTTATCAGCTGCTTGTCGCTGCCCTCTTTTGGAGCATACACTGTCGTGTATCAGCAATCTGGCGATTAAGCAGTTCATGCAAATACTGTCTCATGTGTCTTGGGCAGAATTGGATAGAACAGTTTAAATAGTCACTTTTTGCCTGAAGTAAATCAGCAAGCTTTGAATTGAAACACACTGGAGTAGATCAAAAGGTATAGCAACCTCCTTTTACTGATGCAGTTGATGCCTTAATACAGCCAATGGGCCCATGTGGCCAATCTTAAGAGCATCCACTTTCCACAGCTCAGGATCCCAAAATGAAATACACTCTCTTTACCTCCATGAACAGCTGCAGCATATATGATTGTGCTCATTTGAAGTCAGATACTCAGTTCACTTGAAATTGCCAGGATATATGAATTCTATCAGCTACAGGCAGAGTTTTGTCATGTGTTCCTTTCTGATATATCCTCATAACAATTTGAAAGGATACTTTCCTCGTTTGGAGGAAATGCATTAAAATATGTTACATCTTAGAAATTGTGGTTCTCTTGTTGCCAATATGACCTTCATGTAAATCTAAAGAAATCTTGCTATGTATAGCATAGATTAGTCCTAGAAGGATATATAACTTCTCATGTATCCAAAAGAAAAACTGGTAGCTCAGTTTTGCCTGAAGAATAGCTACCTCATGGGAGCTACATACCATTTACATAAAGTCCTAATGCTTTACCTTTATTAGATAATAAATCACATAAATTTGACTACCTTAAGCCTGGGAGAACATTCCTAATTGAGAACTCTAATGAGAAATGTTAAAAAAGAAAATAAAGAAAAAGCAAACTGGATGCAAGATTTTATCAAGATGCTGCTCCAGGATGTCAGGATCTCTAGACACTATTGTTTCATGGCTCTGTGATTGCCATTTTGGTGGTACTTGAGTGACTTATTGACTGCAATGCAGGTGTCATTATTGGACTATTGCACTTTGTAAATATAAATGAAATATGTAGATAAAGTAACTTGAGCAAGTTGTCTAAGCTATTGAACTTTGTCTTCCAATTGCTCGCTAGTGTCCTTTTTCTTCCACCATTCTTTTTTCTGATCACTAGAACTTATTTTAATGAGTAAGTCTCTTTCTGTCTTTACCTGTCATGATGTTATAAAAGGATCCAATGCATCTCCTGGAACCCCTGAACAGTGACCTTGGCTGTTTCATTATATTGGAATATTGAACAAATAAGTTCAGATTGCTTTAGAGACCAAAATACTTAGATTTCAATATTCTTAAGCACTTAGTAGTGTGTTATTTTATGACTGCATCTATTTCTGAGGATGGCTTTTCATAAAAAATGAGTATTAACTGGTGAGCTTCAAGGGAACAGGGGATCTGGTAGAACTGCCTGTGCTTGTAACCTACTGTGAATACAATTCTCTGTAGTGAATGTAAATTGAGATTACATGTGCCCAATAAGAGGAAGGGAGGCAGAAAGCAAGTTTTTTATATCTGACTGAAGCTATAGTATCTAGGAAATGCATCGTGATGACGATGGTTAAACTGATACTATATAGAAACTATAATAATTTTCCCATACTTCCTGTTACTATTGCAAATTTCTTATAACTGACCATTCTAAAGAGTATGCTTTTATGCATAGTAATAATTTCCAAATATGAACTCCTGAGAGTTACATATGATGTCTTGCACCTTATTTCAGAAAGAGTATAAGCAGTTGCACTCCTTGTTGTTTGCTGGCAACCTCTTTTTTAAGCTGCTTCAGAAAAGAAAAAAAACGGTCCTAAGGAACAAACTAAAGTTATTCCATTCTTTTCCTTGATGCAAACTTTATCCTCAGAATGCAGGATCCAAATTGTAGTGCCTCTTCAAAAAAAAAAAGTGGCTAATGTTGCTATGGTTACAGAACCATTCCCTTTGCTTTGCTTTTCTGCCTTAGTAATGAAAGCGGAAAGAGGGATTTTTATTCATGATTTGGATGATGCTTTGGAGGGGAGACTCATCTCTCCCTGTATACTTCACATACAACTTTCTTAAATTGCAATATTTGGGGTTTGGTTATTTCTCAAGGTGTTTATCCCTCTTTTCTTAATAAAGTTGATGAAAAACTAATGTAGTCTTAAAAAGCTGGAGTGAAATTGTTAGTTTCCCTCACAATCCAGCTCAGATGAAAGAGAGATTCAATTTCCATCAGTCTAATCCCCCTCAGCTATACAACACTCAGGCTGCCCTGAGCTACCTTAGTTTATTGAATTAGCTTAATCTCAGGAGTGACTGCCACTGATATTTAATTTTTTTGCATAAGGTATTCTTAAGATTCCTTAAATGCATGTGGAAAAGATTAAGTCATGCTCTAGGATGCCCAGCTTTACCCCATTAGCTTACTGGGTTTTTTTCCTCTTAGTACTTTTGTGAGCAACTTGCAGTTTCTTCTCCTTCCACTAACACAAATCTTTTGGAACCCAGAAAAAAGTCTGTGATGCTTTGCTTCTCTGTGATTCTTCCATAGGCTGACAAGTAATTTCTATTATGGCTGCATTTAAATGTTTGTGAAAACTATTCCCATTTTCTTATCAACAAAGCATCATCATCAGCACATCTCGAGGATGAAAATACATTTGGAAGCAGCCACCACAAGAGCAATGCAACTGAAATGTTCTCCTGAGGACAATAAGCAAGCTCTTTAAAGGTAGCAATGATATGGCATAAATGTACTCTCTAAGGACAGAATAACTGATGCATTTCCCTGGGGATCATTCTGCTGCAGAAAGCTTACTGTGAAATGATAATGCAAATAAAGACCAGAAACTCTGTAAGGGTTTTGTGCTTTTGTTGTGGGTTGTTGTTGTGGTTTTTTTTACCTAAAACCCTCCAAAACCTAATTTAGGAATGAGAATGACCTTCCATTTTACAAAAGCTGAAGACCAAGCCTACTTCACACAGCTCCATTAGGAAGAGAGTTTTTCTGGCAGCCTTGACAGTGTATACATTTGAGGTGGGGATGCCAGCATGGCTATTATTAAGGTTTCCTGCTACTTTTTTTAGTAACAAGTAGTTCTGACTGTCCTGTAATGCCAAGCAGCTATATGAATTTCTCCACTCTGAATGGCTTTTCTACATTTATCATACACACTCAGATATATATTCCCTTTAATGTTTTTTATTTCATTCTATTATTTCAGCCAAAGCAGTTGCAGATGTCTCCGAGTTAACTTAAGGAAGAAGTATAGCGCTGGTGCGTTGGCTTGGGGTTTTTAGTTTGGATTTTACTGTCCCTTCATTCTCTCAAGCCTTTGCTTTCTGGAAAACTTAAAGATTGGTGCAGAAACTTAATCTGATGGCCTTTAGCATGACTACACCTTCGCTGACCCTAGGGAAACGTACCCACATTTTCTAAATCACAAGACTAAGAATTTGAGTTAACTCTTAGGAAGGTACATTGTTATTGTAAGCAAGCCCTTAACAGTGGTTTGTTTTTTTGCCTGAGCAGACTGGATATTGTCTGTTCTCACACAGCACCGACATGTCCAGACTCTTAATGAACCATCTCTTCAGACTTACGGAGCATGCACCAACTGCCACAGCTCTGGAAAGGGAAAGGACTGGAAATATGCCATCCTGGAGGGCAACAGGGCTTCACAGTGCTTTGAACTGGAAGGAGAGGTGCAGAGAAAGGGCCCTTGGTTAGAACTGGGAACTGTATTCTTGATAATTCCCTGCTGATACAGTGAGAAAATAGATTGAAGGTAATTCAAGGTAATAAGGTAGGATCTGTGTGTGAGGGACATAAGCCTAAAAAAGCAATGGCTAGTGTGACCTTGGTCTTGGAGCATTAGTTTTACAGCTGAACAGCAGAAAAAGGACATGAAGCAGTTCCTGCTGGAGATATAAAGCTTCTGTAGATAGTTAGATTTCATGCCATTTGCTGACACAAGAGGAGCGGTGGGATAAGAGGACCTTTTGTGATGTGTAGACATAGCTTGAGACTTTTCAACACTGTTGGAAAGAAAAATAACATTTCTTTTGCAGTACCAGTTGACTGGGCTCTTGAGAAATGGAGTGGAATGGAGGGGAGTAACTGCAGAAACTTTAGAAATAGAAGCTAAAGGTTGAGAATTGAAGAGGACTGCAAATATGAAGGTGAGTAAAAAGGGCTGAGAGGAGTCTAAAATTTGAGGAAAGGGAAGCAGGGGACCCAGGAGACTTTCAGACTGCAGCTGACAGAATAAAGATTAGGAAGGGCAGAATAAAGAACAGGAAAGAATATAGTAGAAAGAATCAAGTTTGGGAAGTAGGAAAAAGAATTTATCCACATTATCTTCTGGAGTCTGGATTTAGAGCTGGACAACAGTAGACAAATGACCTGCTGAAAGTGTCAGACTGCCCAACCCACCTGTACCAAAGAGATGGTGACCTCTGACTCTCCCTGAAGAAACACAGCTAGACCCTGGATGCTAGTAATCCAACTCTTTCCATAGCAGTAGCAGCAAACTAGTGACAAACCATGAGTTTCTTAAACATGTTCAACTTTTAAAGCAACCCAAGATGGGTTAATGTACAATACAGTACACAGATACAATACAGTACACAGATGATACTTACTGCCTACTGTTTGTAGTGACTGAACAGCACACAAATGGACATTGGAGCCTCGATAAACAACGGCAGATGTAAATACTTGATTTAAACCCCCTTATCATATGCTTTAAAAATGTTTTTCCATTTCTGTCCCAATGTATTATGGAGGATGCTTTAAACTACAAGGTTTTTTGATTCTTACCAGGTGAGAGACCGCCACAGAATTTGGACTTTATGTGTGATATAACCCAAGTCATAGTTTAAAGACTGTAACTTAGGCGTGTGAAGCTTCTTTGAAAGAAACAGTAACTTGTCCAAGTTTAATTTTTGTATTTCTGTGAAATTTATCTTCAAATACTTGATTTGAGTTGAGGTTTTGAGAGGTCTCTCCTGATTTCATGAGAAGTAAAACATTTAATCAAAACTGACTTAAAATCTAAAGAAATACATAAAGGGTCGTTTCAGATAGCTTAAACATGGGCTAGGGAAAGATTTTATATATTTGCATATTTTATTACTGGAGATAAAAAGCAATTTTTCAAATAAATGCTAGTTCTGAGTCTTCTGCCCATTTATCTGTAAGAAGATCAGGGGATGCAATTTCCAGAATGGTCTGACTTCCTCAGCTGCACTAAAATCATTTTAGTTCTGGCAGCCCAATGTAACTTAATGGGGAATACTCTGTGTTCTAATTCGTCTCTACTGGTTTTATGCTCAAAGGACAGTTCCTTTAAGACAGCTACCAAAACTCTTCTAAGGGAAATAGCAATATCTATCAATATCTAAGTGGTTTATGCAAGGATAACATTACCGTCTTTGTCTAGCTCACTTTAAAGTTTCATACATTCTATCAGTGTTACCACTGAATTATTTTAAATTATTAACACTGTTCTGCCTATAATTTTATTTCCTTTGTTGTTTTCTATAACTGCCATCAATACAGGATAAAAGTAACTGAGCAACTGAAATTTAGAGTGAAATCCCTTGCCGTTTCTAGATAAAGCTCCCATCTACCCTAGTGCCTGAACTCCTCAGAACTGTAAGAGCAGTGCCTACACTATTACCACTGTGTGCTGACTGCATCCATAGACAGTTAAAGAAAGAACATCTTAATGCCTTAAAATATATTCCATTTAAAACTTCCCAGCTGATAACAAATATGTCCTACCAAGAACATGCTCTTCACACTGTCCAAATATGCAAGTTTATTAAGGACAATTGCAGACATAATATGTACAAACTCATGGCAATTTTTTGATATCTGCAGATACAAGCAACAAAACCTGAGATAAAGAATCTCTTGGAAAACTACTTATACTTAATAAACCTGAGCATTTGGACAGTGTGTTCCTGACGTATATGAATTTTTAGATGACTATGCCCTAAAAGCAAAGGATGATTACTGATGATTATTGACTCTCAGTAAAAAACAAAGAGTGATTATTTATTCTTACTAAAAAAGGGTGATTATTGATTGATTCTTTATGCAATGGATTCAGCCCACTGTATAAACTTACAGCACACTGAAAAGTTTTTACTAAGTGTAAATAAAGGTGGAGCAGGGGGGTGAGGAAATCTGCAGAACTTCAGCTTTTGTTGGCAGGTGGAAACTCATTAAATCTGCACATGCTTGAGGAGGTAGTGTACATATTCTGTGCTGCTATTGAGACAATCCTCACAGAAATTTCCCTGTTTCATCTGTCTGATAAATGGCGATACTGGAAAAGAATGTGGCTCTTCTCTAGGCAGCTGTGCAATTCACTGCTTCATGCTTCCTTTCTCTTTGTGCTATAAAGATGAAGTCTATTGCCTTAGACATTTACAAATCAAATCTTTTCATGTCACTAACTGCTCTCAGAGAAAAGCACAGATGTAAAATCCCTGTTTGTCTCCGCAGAGAGGCTAGCAAATGGGCCACTAACAGCAAGGCTCACCACCCTTTAATCAGAATCTATGCTCAAGAGCATTACTGCAGTACTTGCCATGGAAAGTGTATTGCTTAGATTAGCTTTTCTTTAGAACATTGGAAAACAACAGTACACTTAAAATAATGTTAAAGGGACAAAACTGTAGAATGTCTCACTCTTTGTTTGAAGTCCTGTGCCTCCAAGAGAAAACTATCACTCCAGCTCCCTTTCCCCCCTGTACAGCTTTGTGAGCATTCCGATTGCAGCAGCTGGGCTGTGGTTTCTAGCAGTGCTGCAGAACTGTGTGGAATCTGGGGCATGGGGTGTTAGGGCCTTGTCTGGGTTTGGGGCTTTTTTGCTAATTGTGGAACTATAGGCATTCCTTTTGCTGCTTGCTCATAGGACTGCCAACCAGACATCTGGGGAACAACTGCAAGTTTTAAGGAGGCTGCTGGGAGGGCAAGACCACTGCCTGCATTTCACGTGGCTTTCAATCACTTGTGCTGGACATAGACTTAATAGAATCATAGAACAGTTATGGTTGGAAAGGACCTTAAGATCATCCAGTTCCAACCCCCCTGCCATGGACAGGGACACCTCGCACTAAACCATCTCACCCAAGGCTTTGTCCAACCTGGCCTTGAACACCACCAGGGATGGAGCATTCACAACTTCCCTGGGCAACCCATTCCAGTGTCTCACCACCCTAACAGTAAAGAACTTCTTCCTTATATCCAATCTAAACTTCCTCTAAGTGTGAACCAGTTACCCCTTGTCCTGTCACTACAGTCCCTAATGAGGAGTCCCTCTCCAGCATCCGCTTCAACGCACTTTAAAATAGTTTGAAGTTTTTAAATTGAAAGAGCAATTCTATGCTCTTATTCTCTTTGTGATAGTGGATAAACTGATTCAATACTGTTTTCCTTTCTTGTCTTAAGTTGTAATGCTTCATAACATGAACCCACTAACAGAGCACTGGAAACTAAAGCAAGAGTGTCAATTTGATTTTAGTTTAATCTAATTCAGAGGAATAGAACCTAAATCTTATATAAACAAATGGTGATCTTTAGTTTTACCTTCTTGTAACAGAAAATACCAACGGTTTGAAGCATTTTCAACTTAGAACTGAGAAGGATGTCAATCTGAAGGTGGGTCAAAATTGGGACAAAAGCTTAATTTTGAGCTTTTCAGAAGAAGTGGAATCTCTTTCAAGTACTGTCTTGTAGTTTAATGTTTTTGAGATATAAAGGTGTGAAGTGGCATAAAGATGTCAGCTTATAAAGTACCTTCCTCTACAAAAGCACCGCATGTTAAAACAGCAAGTGATAGAGCAGGCTGTTTTTGTCACATAGCAGGTAACATCCTGAGTGACTCCAGCATGGTTTGCCTCTTGTCAACAAGATCATTTGAACAAAAAAAAAGTTGGGCTTCCAAAATAACAGTGTCTCCAGTCATAGAACTGCTGAATGCTCAGTTCTGCTGCAAGGGTTTTCAGGAGAGAGAAGCAAGACTAATCTACAAACATCAAGAACCAGGATGTGATAAACTTGGCTGTGCGTGGATGTTTAGAGAATCTGCACTGTCAGTTTAGCTACAAATGTGCTGTGGCAGTCAGGAGCAGCTGCCAGACTTCACTGCAGCCAAAGTCCACTTCATATCCTAAAACGCTTTCTTGGTTTTCTGAGAGGGACAAAGGTTATAAAGTCTGACTTGATGTAGTGTATGTCTCCATCATCTGGGTATTCAAAAAATATGAGTTGAGGCCCTTCAAATCCTTTACAGCTATTCAGTTACATAGACATGAAGTGTACACTTAAATTTCTTTCATGTTGTATTTGAGTTGGGCACTTACATGGCATACAGGAGAGGTGCAGAGAATGAACGAAGCAGCAGCAAAGGATTAAAAAAAGCTTCTAAGCTCATCCTAAAGACAAGATAAATGGCATCTATCCATCTGTTAGTTTGCCTATGGGCATTTTAAACATCCTGAAAACAGGCATCACACCTTTTTGACAGTGTTTGCCTGTAACTGCGTAGCGCCATTCACTACTGGAGTTTTTACGCTAATAGAAAATATTACAAATTCATAATTGTTCATACCATGGCTAGAGACCTACATGAGTTTTGATACTGATATTTTGCAGACTTGTCTAACTCTGTCAGCACAGCTTTTAGTTATTTGTCTTGCCCTCTGTTCTACTTAAGTATAGAAATAGCAACAAAGACTAATAATAAATGCCACAATAAAAGCAGACCCAGGAGCATACATTTCCCCCTTCATTTAAGAAGAAATACACACTGTTATGGCCTCTTGCACACCTTTGTGAAAGCACACTATTACTACTCTATCTTGGATACATTTCAGCATCTGCATGGGGACTTTTTGCTTACTGCTAAACATTTTGTCCTCCTGATGCAAAGACAATGTGGCATTTATACTGTAAAGTTGGTTAATTCAGTGCTTTTTCAGCAAGATAACTTTCTGATTTTTTTATAAATGACATCCTCCTCTTGTCTCTAGCAATAGGCAAGATCTGAGCATCCATAGTCAGCACAGCTGTGAGCTGTTCTGACTATAGACGGGACTGCAGCTCTGTGACTGGCAAGTTCAGCACAGAGGAATTATGACCTCTGAACTGGATGCTGTGTTTATTTGAACAAGCATGTATTCCAGCTACTGAGGGACAAATCAGTACTAATTTATACAAGTCAAGGCCTGTCTCTGACTTGGAACAGCTGCTAAAGGCGAAAAACAGATATATGGGGATACCTGACAAAAATTCAGATGCTGGCAAACTGTAGGAGGTGCTTTCAAACACCACCGAGTTCTTTAACCAGTATTTTTGCTTTCACTTTGATCAATGTAAAGGCATTACATGTTGCTCCCTGAAAATAAAGATATTCAAGAAAGATGAAATAAGAGAAAAACCTATAGCTGAATCTATTAGTTGCCTATTGCCTAAGAGAAGAGTTCATTGCTGCAGTGGTCTAATGAGCCACTGTGCACTGGCACTCCAACTGCATTCTTAACAAAATAGTTGTGCTCTTGTACTACTATTATAGTAAGTCACAAAGGCAATGGTTTTTACTTTTGATTCTGCAAGAAGAACTTGAGAGCATTCCGAATTCAAAACTTCAGCAAACCTGACTGGACAGAAAGAACCAAGGAAAGGAAGGGGAAGGCATTCTAAAGTCAGGCTACTACCTGAGGCTTCTGTGCGTAGCTATTTCAGGATTCAGTGGGTACTTCCCTCTTCATTCATCAAATGATCACTTCCACTGGGAAAAAGGCAATACTGAAAATAAAACTGCTGCAAAGTAATTCACTGAGCTAATGATAAAAAGTGAGGGAGGCACTGTTTGGAGGGGGTGTGCTCATGAAAACTATGACTGGAGCTAGAACTTTCTGCACAGATGTCTTGCAGCACTTTATAGTGTTCCTTTTAACTTACTCGCTTCCTGGATTTCTGCTAAACCTGAAGTTTTCTGAGGGAGAAGACAGGAATAGCCACCCAATCAAACCTAAGGTCTTTCTTCTCTCACCCCTTAATGAACACCATAAGAACTAGGCTGCTAGGTTTCTCATTATTGGGTATTCATGATGGACCTGAAATAACTTTCCTTCTGAAGCTTTATCAAAAACTGACCTTTTCTTCAAACCTCTTAATAAATTGTCACTTTCTGATGAAACTAATCTTGGAAAAAATCCTGGTCAACTCTAATAGCAAAGGTTTGCCTCTAACTTCTATTTCAGATGTAACTGTGTGACTGTGCCTTTATATATATATATATATATGACTACACACTCACTACCATTACAGCACTACTGATCAACCATTACTTTGCTGGAATCAGTTTTATTTTCAGCAATAGGCTTTCTTCCAAAACCTTTCTTTTTTAATTGAAACATTTTGGGAGCTACAGGTACAGGCATAATGGAAGCCTACTGCATTTATGCTAGTCTTTTAAACTTCTCAGTGAACCACCTAGATTTTGGGAGCAAATATGCAATAATCTCCATCTCTTTTCATGCCAGCCTAATAGCAGAGAAGCAGTTTTGTGGCTGTGATGCTCCTTTCACCTTCTGGTCACAGCAGCTTCACCTAACCTTCCCTGCTTTATATGCATTTGAGCCATTACTTGGCAGACTTGAGGTGTGGTTTGTGTTTTTTTCTAGTGGCATGAACCAGAAGAGAATTCACCTAATAGTGACTAATATGGTCCTTTCAAGGACAACACTGCATGTGCATCTGATATACCACCCCTTCCTCAAGATCATTATGAAGCTATGTCCTGAAATTATCTTTCTTACCCTGCTGGCTAAGGACTGCCTGTAAAGCATCCTTATGTGTATATGTATATATATATATATATATGCATACATAAATATAGGGGCTACAGGCCTGCAAAACTGTGTTATACTTCCATTATTCAGACATATTTTGTCAGCCTGTTGAACTGTTTAATACCAAAGAAAAACACTAGATTTATATTCTGAACACTGTAGCTCACGCACAATGCCAGGAAAAGTGCATTTGCTTGGTTTACTTCCAAAAACTATTCCAATTAAGTATGAGTAAACTTCCCATCTGATTAGTCCAGAAGTTGTGACAAAAGACAATGTCCTGTGTCAGAAACAGGAGCTGTCTTTCTCCTGTGCCAGGTGTCTGTGTGTATATATAAGTAGCGTGTTTGGTTGAGCAATTCCTAGCACAACAGAAATCAGAAACCGGTAAATTCTACGTGGACCCCTTCTCTACCAGCAGTTCAAGCAAAACAGTGAAAAACAAAACCAGCACCTGCAGTCCAAGTCCATTGATATTCTCAAGCTTGCACCAAGCCTTCCGTGGTCAAAGGCCTGTGTATAAAAACTGGCACAACCAAGTTCTTTTTAATTTCCTGTTTCTTTAAAGTTAAGGAGTTTCTTCCTGATTGACTAAACAAAAGAACAAGCTCCAGCCATCTTCTCTGTCTTTGAAGCCTTCTATTCCCACTGCAATCTGGGTGACAGCAGTGACCTCCCAGGGTTCAGCCTTAACCACTGCACCGAATTCCCTTGGAAGGAGGGGAAAAGTGGAATCCGTACCACTATCCTGTAGCAGTAACCCCCACTGGATTTTAAGCCCCATGTTACACAGCTTGTATGATTCACCTCATGAAAATAAAATAGACCAAGAAAATACATATAAATACCTGAAAGTTTTAACATGTGTGTAAAGATACTCTCAGGATAAATGACACTGCATGTAACCATAGTCTCCTCAGAAGCCTGGCATACATATTTGTTAACATACAGCTGAAGAGGAATTTCTGCATAATCACTACAAACATAGGGACTGAAAGGTTTCTTGATCACCAAATACAGCGCTTCATTGCTGTGACTGTATCATATAAACTCTCTATAAATATGTTTCATGTTAAATGAATATGCTGATGGGCTCAGTTGTCCCTGGTGTGGGTAGCCCTACCCTCTTCCCACAAAGACCCCCTCCTGCAGCTCCCCCAGGTCCCAGCACCCTGCCACATTCACCCCTTACAGCAGCTAAGGCTTATGCTCCTGTATGCTGTTTATTTAGTATTGTTGTTTTAAATTGACAAACCTGGAGTTGCAGTTATATCAGTCTTTGTTATCAGCTTGTCAGTTACTTAATAAACACATTCCATCATCTCTGTGGGAGTTGTAGTCATTTAGATGGTAATTCCTGTTTCACAGGTATGTTCTGCAATAGGTGCCAAATATAATCATCCATACTGTTACCGGTGATAAATTTTAACAGTTTTCATGTTCTTAAATTTCTGTGTACTTTTATTATGTAGGAGTATCTGAATTTAAATTAACATCTCAGATCCATGTGGGCCATCTTTCTCTTGAAACTTCCTATCATGGCTGCACTTCAGGTAGGTGACAGCATTTCAAAACAAGAAATAACATACTGATGGAGCAGTCATGTCTGTTGCCACCAGTAATTAGGGTTATCAAAATAGCAACCCAGTTTTCATCCCTGCCTGTCAACATAGTTCATTGTGATCCTCAGAGGAAATGTTAGAGACCTCTTTGTCTACTGAACACTGCTTTAACTATTAAAGCTGCTCCTTCTCAACCATGCTTTGTGGGTGAGTAGGGACATCTCCAACCGCACTAGACTGAATACTCTCCATGTTCTTTATCCCAGCGGTTTAATGTAGCTATCAAAATATCTGTCATAAGGATCTTCCAGATACACCAGTATTTGGGAGAGTTCTTCTTTATAAGGGCCATATGATACTAAATGACATGTCTCAATCCCAATTAAGAAAGTCATCATTTTTGAGCAGTGTGAGCTATGACTGAGTATTTTAATCCTGGTCTGTTTGTGATGTGTCCCATAATCTCAGGGGTGCAGTGAAAGTGATTTTACAGTTATTTTTTCCACAGAAGTTTTAGACATTCAGGATGTTTTTGTACAGACTGTCAGCCAGCTGCAAATTACTTTGCAGTTGTCTATTTCCACTTACAGATTGGCCTTCAGGGAGGGAAGAGAGACTAAGTGAGAAGATGGCATTAATGAAAGCTAGACAAGCTTTTCCACATTTTGTATTAGACTCTTAATCTACCCCATCTCTGCCAGATCTTTTCCCCAGGTAAGTGCTTATGAGGAAAGCTTTTCTCTCTACTATGCTTTCAACTAGGTGTTGTAAGTCTGTAAAAAGGAACAATAATTTTAGCTGATTTTTTCAAGTTATTTTTGTAAGCACGTGTGTCATTTTTGCATCAATAAAGAGGGACACAGTTGCAACTTTTTCTGTAATTAAGTGTTCTTCACAGAATGGTGAGAGTAATATAACCACAAGTTATGTTTCTGGTTTCTGAGCACTGGTTAAAACAACCTAGGAAGCCTGAAAGAATCATGCAGAATCCTCCTGCCCAGCCCTCAGGGTTTTCAATACACTACTATTGCCAGCTCTGGCAGTGAGTGCTTACAACTCTCCCATAAATTTAGATTCCAGATGTGTTTAGTTGAGAAGAGATCAGAGCAAGCCAGTACTGATGAAATTCCATCTGTCATGGATTTTTTGATAATCAGAGACAGGTGATGGTTAATCAGATTTAACGCACTGGGGGTTTTAAACAGGGCACAGTGATTGCCAACTGCTACAATGTGTGTAACACAACTACATTCGTATGGTCTGTTCAGTCGGTAATGCTTCAAAGACGTTGGTCTGGGACTCACAGGACTTGAAATTTATTCCTTACTCTGCTGCTGACCTGCTGGGTGACTTCTATAAAAACCACTTTGACTCATTCCTTTTCATTGCCCTTTGCTGTAATGTCTTTATATAGGTAGCGACCTCCTAAGGCAGTAAAGCAACTTTATAATTGCAAGTTGGGCTTTTGAACCTCCTCAGTGTAAACGCTGTCACTCTCCATCTATACCAATCTCTGCATCAATTCAGTCCTGTTGCAAGTACGATCCATAAGCAGTACAAACAGTTAAAATACCTTCACCTTTTTATGCACTTTGCAACAAACTGACACTTACTTTGAATGTATGGTTATGAAGGGGCTTATCATAAATGAAGCTTGCTGGAGGTGTTCCAGTTGTTCCATCAATAGGTAAAGCCAAAACCTTACCACTTACAGGAATCTTTGTGGGAATTCTCAGCACAGGAAACAAGGAATTAACAAACCAGTCCCTCATTTTCCAATCCTGGACAAGACTGCAATCTCCTCTTATTAATGCATATGTCCCCCCGCCCCCCTTTTTTCTTGGAGGGGAAGGAGGATAAGGGGAGAAAGACTCTCAGACCCAAGGCTTTCCTTAATAATGACCCCACAAAATAAATCATGGGTTTCTATTAAAGGTTTGTTAACACCTGATGTGAGAAAACCGCCCTGTATTAACAATAATGAAAGCTCTCAATTTGCCTTTCCTTTTCTTAATGATTGCTACAACTTTGTTGTCCTCTAAGCCAGAAAAAGTCGAAAACACAGAGAACAGCAGAAAGAAAAAAGATGTGCAATGATGAATTGCATGCAGCACCAAGGATACATACGGAGAAGAGTAAGAATGGCTGTTAAAGAAATCATATCATGAAAGATAAGAAATCTCACAGAACATCAGTCATTCTTATTCTGCATGTTTGCTGGCACAGTAAAGGCAATAAAACAAAACATACGCTTTCCTTCATGTAGCACACAAAAGCAGGATCTGAGGAAAAATAACAGTAGAGCACTAGATGGTAGTCAGCTAAAATAAAATAGATTCCAGTACTGCAATTTGCAGTCTCCTGCAGTGTTTGCAGAAGTTTTTTCCTCAAGCATTACTAATGTTAGAACTTCAGACAGCTTCCTTGAGTCTTTGTGGAACATGTTGTGTTAATTCCTACAGCGTTAAAATGATGTTTTGGCCTGATAACAGTATGCAAAACTCCCAGGAAGGCTGTGTTTAAAACTTAAAAAGCTACAAGCAATTCTTTCTAAATTGCTCCCTCCTGTTTTAAGATATACGGCACTTCCAGACATTGCCACATAACACAGTGTAGTATGCACATGAGAAATGCAAAATCTTAGTCTAGTCAGCAGTCTACTTCTATAGTAGACTAAATGAGTACTGCAAAACTGACCTCTAACCTGTTAGATTGTTCCTCAGCTTCATCCTTTGCTTGCCCCCTTTGCTACACAGAGAGACTGTTTAAATAATAATAAAACTAATCATGGTCTTGGCATATAGTAACATACATGGTGGAATGAAATCCCTTTAGCAGGACGGCTGGTCACTGAATGGGTGGCAATAGGAATGTGTCACAAGTATCCTTGGAGCAGCATTTTCAGATGTATCAGACAAGACTTCCCACAGCACTGTTCTGCAAAGCAGGGCTCTGTCACATTTAACAATTGGTAAGGGAAAGACCATAACCCTGGGTGTCCCCCCGCCTCCTCCTTACCATGAGCTTTCACTGCCAAGCACAATGTGATATGGTATGGGATAGCCCTGTCCCAGCTGTGTCGCCTCCCAGCTGCTTGATAGCCTTTACAAGTCCAGAGTTGAAAAAAAAGGCCTGGAAAACAATATCTATTTTAAAGTGTTTGATACAAGGTTGAGATTTAAAGTTACCTCCTTTAAGCAGTCTTTTTCAGATTTTAAAGGGAAGCAGACTTCACTGTACAGCACTCGGTTCTGCAGCAGTGGGTGGGATTGATCAGCACCTGCACCTATGGCCAAAACCCAACAGTGCCTAATTGATGATATTTTAGATCTGAGGTATTCAGAAGGACAAAGCATAGACTCTGTTAATTCCCATTTTAAAAGTTCCATCTCTGTAACCTTATTCTTTGATGTGTAAAACCTGATGTGCATCCAGAATGAGCACTTACCTGTGAAAACATAGCAATTAGTCCTGCATGATGGCAATCGAGTAAAACTCAAGGTGAGGAACAAGCTCTTCTGTCTCCAAGATACTGCCCCAGGACACCTTCCTTCCAGAAGGGTGTTCAAGGATACCAGGAAATAGAACCAAAGGGATTATTTTTTGGAAATGTGCAGCAGTGTTCCTCATAGTACTCCAGTTTTGGACTAGAAGGTTAAAAAAACCTCCAACAAACCAGCAAAAGGAAAACAAAACTTTTAAAGTGTTAGGTCTGGAAAAAATGGAAATGAGCTGAAATTTGTATTCTGAAGAAGAGCTGAAATAGAGCAAGAGAAGAAAACAGCTGCTTCAGGAATACAAATGCTAAATTTATTAATGCAAGAGAGGACAGTATGATTAAGTTGTTTAATGTACTGCATAAAACACAACAACAGTTGGCTTAATGTATTTAACCAGAAAAGCTAAAAACACCATGGGTCTAGGCTGGAGTAAGTTCAAAATGCGTTATCTCCCCATTCTTTGATTGAGATGGTTTTTAAATCTTAACTGTTTTTCCCTCCTCGTGCTCAATGCTGACAGAAGCGCGCTGAAATATACAAGTACCTCAACAATAAAAGCACAAGTCCCAGTCCATGCTGAATTCCAGCCAACCGTATGTATTCCTGACACTCAGCTCACAGCCCAAGCCAAGTTAATGAGGCTTCCTCACCCCAACAGGTACCACAGCAGTGAATTATTGTACTATATTCTTACATAGTTAATCTCAACAAAGGCTCCTTCAAAAAAGCAAAATGGAGCAGAACTACTAAAACCTTACATAGGAGAGAAAACACGTTTTATTCTAGAAGCAAAAAAAGATTAGTATCACAACTGAACTCCAATAACAGAGATCTAAGGGATGTGGGGAAACACCCATAAGCTTTCCAGTAAATATTACAGCACTTTCTCATTGTAACATTTTCCCCTCAACATGCCTTGAATTTGGTTGCTTGAATCATCCTCACACCAACAAAGAAGTTAGCAATACTGTCTGTTATTTATATATGTATTACCTGCTACTTACCCTTAAAGCAGCTGCAAAGGGTAAGGGAAGAATGGGAGCCCTTGCTATTCCCATTACCTAGACAGATTCTGCAAGTCTGTGGCAGTGGGCTGGCTAGAATTAGGGCCAGCTGATTGATAGTCAAAGACCACTGAAGCTTTTTATTCTTGTAGGAATATATATATATAATCAGAGCATCACAGAATAGCTAGGGTTGGAAAGGAACTTAAGATCATCCAGTTCCAACACCCCTGCCATGGACAGGGACACCTCACACTAAACCATCTCACCCAAGGCTTTGTCCAACCTGAACTTGAACACCTCCAGGGATGGAGCATCCACAACCTCCCTGGGCAACCCATTCCAGTGCCTCACCACCCTAACAGTAAAAACTTCTTCCTTATATCCAATCTAAACCTCCCCTGTTTAAGTTTGAACCTGTTACCCCTTGTCCTATCACTACAGTCCGTAATGAAGAGTCCCTCCTCAGCATCCTTAGAGGCCCCCTTCAGATACTGGAAGCTGCTCTGAGGTCTCCACGCAGCCTTCTTTTCTCCAGGCTGAACAGCCCCAACTTTCTCAGCCTGTCTTCATACAGGAGGTGCTCCAGTCCCCTGATCATCCTTGTGACCCTTCTCTGGACTTGTTCCAACAGTTCCATGTCCTTTTTATGTTGAGGACACCAGAACTGCACACAATGCTCCAGGTGAGGTCTCATGAGTGCAGAGGAAAGGGGCAGGATCACCTCCTTCGCCCTGCTGGTCACGCTCCTTTTGATGCAGCCCAGGATACAGTTGGCTTTCTGGGCTGCAAGCGCACACTGAAGCCAGCTCACATTCAATTTCTCATCAGCCAACACCCCCAAGTCCTTCTCTGCAGGGCTGCTCTGAATCTGTTCTCTGCCCAACCTGCAGCTGTGCCTGGGATTGCTCTGACCCAGGTGTAGGACCTTGCACTTGGCATGGTTAAACCCCATAAGGTTGGCATCAGCCCACCTCACAAGCATGTCGAGGTCCCTCTGGATGGCATTCCTTCCCTCCAGGGTATCAACTGAACCACACAGCTTGGTGTCATCGGCAAACTTGCTGAGGGCGCACTCAATCCCACTGTCCATGTCAGCGACAAAGATGTTGAACAAGACCGGTCCCAACACCGATCCCTGAGGGACACCACTCATTACTGGTCTCCAGCCGGACATTGAGCCATTGACCACAACTCTTTGTGTGCGGCCATCCAGCCAGTTCTTTATCCACCGAGTGGTCCATCCATCAAATTGATGTCTCTCCAATTTAGAGACAAGGATGTCGTGTGGGACAGTGTCAAACGCTTTACACAAGCCCAGGTAGATGACATCAACTGCTCTACCCCTGTCCATCAGTTCTGTAGCCCCATCATAGAAGGCCACCAAATTGGTCAGGCAGGATTTCCCCTTAGTCAAGCCATGCTGGCTGTCACCAAGCACCTTGTTGATTTTCCTGTGCCTTCCAGGAGAATCTGCTCCAAGATTTTGCCAGGCACAGAGGTGAGACTGACTGGTCTGTAATTCCCCGGGTCATCCATTTTACCCTTCTTGAAAATGGGGGTTATATTTCCCTTTTTCCAGTCATCGGGAACTTCACCTGACTGCCATGATTTCTCAAATATGACGGCCAGCGGCTTTGCAACTTCATTCGCCAGCTCCTTCAGGACCCGTGTCTGGATCTCATCAGGACCCAGGGACTTGTGCACATTCAGATTTTTAAGATGGTCTCGAACCAGTTCCTCTCCTACAGTGGGCCCAAGGTCTTCATTCTCACAGTCCCTGCGTCTGCCTTCCAAGACTTGGGTGGTTTGGTCAGAGCCTTTGCCAGTGAAGACGGAGGCAAAGAAGCCATTTAGAACCTCAGCCTTCTCCAAATCCAGGGTAGCCAGTTCTCCCGAGAGGTTCCAGAGAGTGCCCATGTTGTCCCTAGTCTGTCTTTTATTCACAATGTACCTAGAGAATCCCTTCCCTAGCCAAGTTTAATTCTAACTGGGCCTTAGCTTTCCTGACCTGGTCCCCAACATCCCTGTATTCTCTGCAGGCCGCCTGTTCTTGCTTACACCTTTTATAAGCCTCTTTTTTCCCCTCTGATTTTCCTCAGCAGCTCCTTATCCATACACACACACACACACACACACACGCCTACATCCACACATGCAATGTATACTGGGACAAACACCTAGCAGCACTGCACCAGAAAGAAAATCAGATGAACTTTAACACATGCTCAAGAACAATTTCTGTTCTCACACCACAGCACTTTCATACAATCAATAAGTGTTGAATTTGGATCACTGAGTATTGAAAGTGATCCATGTATGCCTTAAGGAATATATCACTGAGGAATGGTAGACTGCTTGTGACATAAGCCAATAACTGGTCCTCTCAAGAGAAAATGCTGTAGAGAACAAATGTCATTTCTCTGCAGGGAGTAAATGAGCAAAAGTCTGCTCACTGGGGCTCTCTTTTTCTTCCACACTGAAGAATTCAGTTCACTGGCAACCCTGTCTTCCGCTACATTACATACACTTCACTGAAAGTAGAAGAGAGTTGTACTACTTCTGCCTTAAGGAGAGAATAACCTTAAAGTTATTCCAAATGGAGTTGTACCTTAAAAGACCTTGTAAAAAGTCTTCACACTCAAATGCGACAACAAACTGCATCATTCATGGAGAATGGATAAAGTAATTGCTCAACAGGTAATACACAAATCCAGCTTCTTTTCCACAGCCATACAGTGTGTTACAAAACAAAGAGATTCATGGCAATCTTCTGTAAGTATATTTATGGTGGTTCTTGGCTCCTTCCATCCTCAGTAGAGGTTAACCAATACAGAGCATCATCCTCTTCCTGTTGCCTATAGACAAACTCTAAACTAAAAAACCGGTTTTGCGACTGTCACTCCGTATGCTAAAATAATCAGGTTTATTCTGTGTTTACAGGTACCCCAAAGCACAAAAGCAATTGCTGGGTGTGTTGTCAGTTACACACTGCTTGCAAGTCTTAGCTTTCTACTATGCTAAATTATACAAACCCAAAAGTTGCCAGAAATCAGGGTATTAATAAACTAGTAAAGCAGAAAGAGTGGGAGGTATAAGCTGACACCATTAGAACAGTGGATACCCTTCTTCAGAAGGGTTATTCAGCGTGTTATTACACAGGTAAGCAATCTGACATTTCATTAATGTGGCTATAATTTACCAGACACTACCCTCCAGTAGCCACTGTTGAGCAAACAACTATTGTTTTGTTGGACTCGTTGAAGTGATTTCTGTTTGGAGGAGGAGTCCTGGTTTCTGGAAGTATCACAAACTGCAAAAAAACCCATTTGATGTACTTTTGTTTGAACTGTAAATAGAGTGAGTTGCTTTTATACCGTTTCCTACATTTTGTTAATGTGCAAACTTCCTCTGCAACTTAAGATTTTAATTTAAAAGTTAACCTTCTAAAAATAATATTAATTAATATGTTTTCCTTGTATTCCCCTATTACCTTCTGTCCTTTTAGTTCCAGGTTTTCAGTTGTAATGGCCTTCAGCTCCACTGCAGGCTTGCTAAATAACCTCAGTAATGTTCAGTAACTCAGAACTCCTCCATCTGCGTGTCAATCCATCCAAAGGACCAGATGCTCTGAAAAACACCTTCTCCACTGCGCCTGGTGTATCACTATCTGAAATATGTTGCTCCCGTAACTGCCATTTCCAGCCCACAAGCAAAGGCAACAACTGACCTGCCTTGGGCCCTCAGTTGTTCACTTGGTCAGGTACAACATGTTCTTTACAAGTCAACTGTTCCTGCTGCTAGAGCGAAGGGAAAACCTGCACGAGGTTTTTACAGGATTATTTCTTTCCATGCCACAGACAATGAAATCACATGAACTGGATTACTGGAAGCATTGGAATAACTTGAAGCATTGTGACAAAAACCATTGGAAAGCAACCATTTCACCAAGGAAAAGAAGTCCAGAGAAACACGTATTTCACCAGAAGGAAAATCTAAGTTTTCTGTAAATAATTCCAGATCTATTAATTCCATTGGGTTTGCACTTATAGGCATTTAGACAACTCAATTAAGTTATTCTTGAAATTAGATAATGAGATAATTATATAAACCTCCTTTCTAAGGTTGTATACATTCCACTGACACAGGTTACAGAAACGTTCTTGCCAAGAACATGATGATTCGATGTGAGCTTGCTTCACCAGATGCGAAGAGAAGTCCTTGTTTCCCTGTTAAACATCCAAGCAGCTGGTTTTTTACAGCACAAAGATTAATACATGGGACCTGACTCAGCAGCTGATCATTTCCGAATTGGCTAGTAACCTGAAGTTTCTTCTGAAAATACCTTAGAAAAAAGTTTCCTTAGAGAAAGGAAGCGTGTACACAATATATAATATTCTTTGTAAGAAACTTAATGATATTCGATCAGCCTACATTGTTGCAACTTTCCTGCTATACCCCCTTGAGTGAACAATTATCTCTGATGAGAAGCTTCAGGAAAAATATTGATTAGGCCATGTTCTTGCAATTAGAAGACGCATGTGAATCTCAAGGCTCTGCTGAAGGACAAAGCAAGAAGGCAAAAAACATATATTTCTCCCTTACTTCCAGCAGACAGATCCTGCTGACCATATTCCATTGCAGAGCACTGCAAGAGAGATGTTCATTATAGAATATGCTAAAAGGAGTGATCAATCTTGCCAAGTTAATCATCTTCAGTCATACTTAATAATAGAGTATTAAGAATGTGGTAGAATCAGTTTAAAAGTATCACTGAAGAGTTACTGAAACTTGGTATTTTCTTTTATCCACCAAATTTGTTAAAAATGCTTCACTTCCATTGAAGTGCTTTACTATGTATAGCAAATCGTTTTAATGAAAAATAGTAATAATGCAGTTACAAATCACAAGCCAACGAACTCTGCTAACAAATAACACTTTAAAAAGGTGCCTGTGCATTTTAGTAACTTACTTTAAGGAATCATAGAATGGTTACGGTTGGACGTTCAGTTTCTTGTTGACCAACACCCCCAAGTCCTTCTCTGCAGGGCTGCTCTGAATCTCTTCTCTGCCCAGCCTGCAGCTGTGCCTGGGATTGCTCCGACCCAGGTGTAGGACCTTGCACTTGGCATGGTTAAACCTCATGAGGTTGGCATCAGCCCACCTCACAAGCGTGTCGAGGTCCCTCTGGATGGCATTCCTTCCTTCCAGGGTACCAACCGAACCACACAGCTTGGTGTCATCGGCAAACTTGCTGAGGGCGCACTCAATCCCACTGTCCATGTCACCGACAAAGATGTTGAACAAGACCGGTCCCAACACCGATCCCTGAGGGATGCCACTCGTTACTGGTCTCCACCTGGACACTGAGCCATTGACCACAACTCTCTGTGTGCAGCCATGAAGCCAATTCTTTATTCACCGGGTGGTCCATCCATCAAATTTATGTCTCACCAGTGTAGAGACAATTTCTAATTTTTAAGATAAACGTTCCATCACTGAAGCATCACAGCTCCTGCCTTGGGCAACTATTCACTGCCAGAACATCTGTGGAATCTGAAGTTACTGCCTGCCAACTGTTTGGTGCCATTACTCTGTTGTCAAAAATTGCCAGCCCCATAGAACGTGATGCTGCTCAGCCAGCAGAATGCACGATACAAGGATTCCCTCCACTATTCCAGTATAAAGTTAGCTAAGCTAACTTTAAATCCAACTGCTCATGGATAAGAAGTGGCAGAATTTCTTCTAAAGATTAAATGCTGACTGTTCAATGCTATGTACATCGTTGCAAAATGGTGAAAAACAAATGTAAGGGTTTTTAAACTCATCTTGAATTTGTCTGCACTGTTCTCAAGCTGCTTTAAAATGTTCATCTTGTCAAGCACAATTTTGCCATACACCTCACGCTGATGGGACAAGGTTACTAAAGCGCCATGTCAGCAACATAACATCAGCAAAACTGAGCTGTCAGGAACAGGAAAGAGTTAGAGCTGCACTATACTCGGTCCTCGTCATCTGGAAGCCTTTGGCCAGAGGCATGAGATTTGTCCCTATCAACAGTAACCTGCACAGGGATGCAAAGACATCTAAACCCTCTTTCTGACACAGCAAAAATCCTCAGTTATGTTCTGAATTGTGGAAATATGGCATTAAACCATGACTAGGGAAAAAAATTCCTATTTAGAGAACTCTGTTGATAAAGCCCCAGTATGTCCTGTGTGTCAATTAGGCCTAGAGAGGTACAGGTTTTTATGTAAGACAGAACTGTTGGTTTTAGTCTTATAGGTGGATTCATTTATAAATGCTGACCCTGGCATATAATCTTCAACAAAAGCTGTGCCTTTCTATCTAATTTCCATCTTTCAGCTGAGACATTAGCATGCCTTATTCAATGTTCTTCTCTCTCAAGCATTACCTCAAATTAATTGGCACTGTATAAAATAAGTTCCTGGGTGCACAATGGTAACCATGGTAGCCTTCATAATATCCTCACAGTGCATATGTAATTCAGTCCTCAGGAAAACATAATTAGTACGTAGCATAATATATTCTCTCTAAACACACCACCGCCATATGAAATGCACACAATCAAAGCAAGCGATGCCTCCCAACCTCCGCTGAACTGCGCGACCATTACGGAGCAGTCACATTACAAATGAATACACTATTAAGTAGTTTTGCTGCAGCATCCTCAACTTGCATAACGCTGCTTCCGACCGGTATGCTTTTCTTTGCGGCCGAGAGGTGGCAATGTTCTACTTTGTATCAGTCAATAGAGCTGCGCTCGCAGGAATCCTGCAATCTCTTCCCAGCCAAGCCAGGCAGCATGCACCATTAACTGGTGTGCTTACCGGGTCCCAGTGCTTCAGTGACGCAGCCCTGTTAAAGTGACACGAATATCAAAATACCATTCAGGCTGTAATCCAGTGAGCTGTGTGAGAGTACATTCATGTATATTTCCTTATGAGGAAAATTAAAAGGCATATGCCACTTAAAGTGTGTTCTCTTACTCATCACATATAATTAGGCTTCATTCAGGATACTCCCAACGTGTTCATACAGGACAATTACTTCTATGCACTGAGTGAAAAGTTTCACCAGCCCAGCTGCTCAGAAGATGCCACCTTGCCGCTACCAAAGCTTATTTCAAGCAGTGTAACTCATTTGAGGTGACCTCCATAATTCATCTGGGGATTTGCCGCTTGGGAATATTGAAGTCACCTGAAACATCTGCCAGTGAGGCCTTAATACCACAGCCATATGGACTGTCAGTACACAGAGCATGGAAAAAACAGCGTGCAGCTGCTCTTTTCCTGGGTAGTGTCCCAATAACAACTGCATTACTTATTTAATGGCACGAGTTAGGAATTATCACATGTAGCAATAAACTCCTGCCCTGGTGCTGGGCCTGCTCCTATGATTACACAACACAAGGTGTCCCACACCCAAACACTGAGATGCTACTTCCATTTGACACTAAGTAACAAAAGAAAGCATGTTTTGCCTGGTGTGTCATAGGGAGATGTTTTCCAGTATCATCAGTCAAATGGGAACTCTAACATTATTTTGTATATGGTATTCAGGATAACCAAATGCTTGCTATGGAGTCAAAGCAACAGTGTAAGAAAAGAAGAGCGAAAGGAGCACCCTTAAATCCACTGAAATAACTGTTGGGTTTCTAACAGAAAGAGGCTCTGAGGCCAAATTTGGTGTCATGATTGTTCTGATGAGGCTGAGGAGAAGAAGTTATAGTAAAAGAGCTAGAGAAATAAATTCATTTTCAAATGCTGCCAGCTAAGCTGATAAATTATTATCACCTACAGAAAGCAAAACGAGAAGTGCTTCTCCACAAAGCAGGTGTGGAGTAAGGAGATGCCCAAACATGGACAGGATAGTCAGTACTTAGCAGACATGAAAGCCATTTAATTCCTCCTGTGAATACATATTGATTTACTTTACTGCTGTACTAGAAACATTACTTCTACTAAGTGTGGGGTATCAATGTGCAGACAAAATGCAGACATCACCACACCTCTGGTAAAAACTTCAGACAACTCATTTAGGAACCAAAATCAACTTAGCAGATATGAAGTAGCTGCCTGGCAGTTGATTCGTCTTTGCCCAGAATCCTTAGTAATGTTCATGTGTACAAGATTTACCTTCATTTTACTCTCTTTACATGCATACGACAGGAAATACTTTCCCACTCATAACAAAAACCTTTGAAACTGTTGTAATATTTATTTTGCCCTTTCTTTTATACCAACAACATGCTGGGGATGCTTTTCTCCTGACAAATGCTTGTGACGTGGCAGAGCTGTTACCAGAGCACAATGAGCTGACATTTCCATGCAGACACTGCCAGGGTAGGTGACATCCTCCTACTTCAGTCTGCTGGGGTACGAGATGTAGATCTCCATTTCAGATGTTTATGGCAGAAGGTAGCATTATGATCGTAAAACTCCAGCCACACGCATAGTGGCAATCCATGCGCACCTGATTCCACACATTTTGAGTATTAGAGGTGTGGGGGAATGGAAGGAAATGGCATTTCTTCAGTGCTATCAAACAAATCTTCAGGTAACAAAATCACTGATTTCAGTTACACAGAATCAGGAGAAAATGCCCTCTGTTACTGCACTAATGCTTAAGTAGCCATGTCACACTTTGCATTTACAGCCATTATCAAATTTTTTTTGGCAAAAAAATGGTGATAACTGGTAAAATAACAGCATTTCATATGGAAAAGCTGGCTAGTTCAGGAAAAGCTGTTTATGTTAGGTGGTGAAAATTATTTCATACATTTATATTAGGTTACCTATTAACAAATACACATTATATGACACTAACTTGACATTTGCCTTAAGATACATGATTTTATTAGATGTTTACTCATCTAGTCTCAGTCATGTCATCAAGTCAAAAAATGTTTTAAACTTGTTCTAATAACTGCTGGACTCACTAGGTGTAAACCCATTCACTTATGACCAGCTAGGCTGGGACATGGGAAAAGAGTGAGTTAGTGACTGCAAACAGAAACAAAACACAATAATTCTGTTGCAGGTAATAGAATTTGGGAGCAGAAAGATCACAAACACTATTTGCCATACGTTCTATATTCTGGTTCTGTTACATAAACTCAGCTTTGCTTTATGTAAAACGCCCAGGCACTATGATCTGTGACTGCAGAACATTCTGAACCAGCTCTACTGAAAACCAGATTATTGACATCTCAGAAGAAGAGTTTTTATAACCCATCACATGAAAAGTATATATAGCATGGGGTGGGGGAGAATGAGCTACTGGATCCTGAGCATGGTAATTAGGTAAAGCCAGCTGCCCACAGTGGCTAGTACTAAATGTCTGTGGGAAATCTCCTAAGCACATAGGGAAGGGAGCTACAAGTTCTACTAATAATCCTAAGCAATATAATTTAAGCATTAACAGAGTAAAATATTGGAGTATTTTAAATACCTTTCAAGTGCTGATACCAAATTGTTGTAGTCATTAACCGCTGAACATTAGAAATCCTGCTTAGTCATTAAGGTTATTTAATGTTTGTGAAATTATTTTACTTCTGTTTAATTACTGGAAATTCAAAGCCAGCAACCTTTTCCAAGTGACCTCAACTACCAATACACCAAACATTTCATAACCACGGGTATCTACATATACTGAATCAAAGGTATAGGTCCATACCCTGTCTAGAAAGCAGTGTTCCTTTCAGAATCTCTGGGGTTTGGTACCAAATACCTATGGCATGATTAATTAGAGAAGAATTTGTTCAGTGTTTGCAGGAACACCTCAAGCAAATCAATGGCTGCAAACATGAAGAATCTAAGAAGGTAAACTCAAAACAAAGAGCCAAACAAAAGCTTTTTCCCCTGAAGTGCAGTGCAAAGACAAACACATCAGCACTGATTTAAACAGTGGAGAAGCTACAGAAGATATCATGGCCAGAATTTCACACCAGAGATCTTACAAAGAAGTTCATCTGTTCATTCAACCCTAAATACCAAGTTTGTGGAACAGTACCATGTAGGCACAAGTTTCAAACACAATTCCAAGGTGTAATATAACACAAGATGCCCAGAGATACTAACTCAGAACCAGGCAATGCAGTTAAACTATCATTATGATTTGCAAACCAGCAAGGTTTTACAAACCAATTCAGATTATCTCCAATATTTTTTATGTACTATATATATATTTAAACAACAAAAGGAAAATGAAATCAGCATGACAGCGGTATTAGTCTTTTTAATGCCTGCAGCGTACTTACGTTGACTTCTGCCTCACTACACCTTAAAACTTGCTGAACACTCTGCTGACTCTCTGAAGATGTTGAACGTGTCCAGAAGCACTGATATTTAGGAGATATTTTCCTTATTTTGGGGGGAATCACATTATTATTAGGATTGGATACATATTTTGCAAGCAAGTCTGAAAGTACAAACAGCAACTCATGCTAGATGCCGTACAAACATTCTGTAGCCAATTCTTTGTCCCAAGAACTGAAACTAAATACAATGTACAGCACAGATAGAACTTCAAGTTCCAGAACTTGTGCTTAAAATACATAACAAACCTTATGGTGACTTATATTCAGCATTCTAGATATGTTCATGAGGATGAAAATCGTGAGAGAGCTTCCAGTCAGCTTCCAGTCCAAGTCTCTTTTCCTATGCTCATGAGGGTAAAATACTCATTTTAGCTTTTTTATTCAGCAAGATGCCATTAAAGAAACTTCAGGATAAATACAATGAAATCTCATATAACAGAGTTCCACACAAAGGCTCATTCAGGGATGCGAGCAGTGGCTTGTACTACATGAAATATAAACCCTCCGTTAAAACAAAAAAGGCTAGTGACAGAAACTGCCCAAGTGACAGTAAACAGCACGATAAAAAGGGTGGCCACACTAACATGAGCAATTACACACTCTGAGACCTGTTACTACTGACTTGTTTTTACTAGATCACACTGTAGAATATGTAGAATGTCTCTGAGCATCATCTCATTGCCATCAGCAGTATTATGTTAGCAGATGCTAGAGCAGCACAGCCTGTGTCACACGCCATTACAAGTCCATTTAAGCATGCCAGTTAGATCCACTTTAAAATAACTTTGTTCAAGAGCACCGTAAAATACGGTAATGGTTAACTGAGAAGTAGTCACTCAAGAACTGAGTCTTGTCTCTAAACAACCTTGGTTTACAAACCCTGTCAGTTTTCACTATTGCTATGAGCTGTCATCCAGGGGAAGCTGTCACTGTACTGACACATTGCAGCCTGAGCTCCAGGGTAATTGTGCAGATTAGGAAACTAAATATTTATGTCCCGTTTGAATAAATGGAAAAATTGCAAGACAAATTTGCGTTTGGTTGGCTTAGGTACATAGCTTCTTTTCCAACATATTCCCATGGGAATATGCCCAAAGGCCTGCATAACACAAACTGACTTATTTTGGATACTTCCCATGTTACCACTAGTTCAGAAGAGAGATTTTCACATGCAGCTTACTGTCCTTTACAGGGCTGTAGTCACTTATAATGTTCCCTGCTAGTTTGTACATACCAGCTTCTGGAAATCCGAGGAGGCAACTCATCAGGTACAACAGCACAGTACCTAGAACTTCAGCATATAGACAACAACTAAAAAGTAGCAGAAGTCACAAACAAGAACAGAAATGTGTAAGTAAATTGTGGGTTTTTTTTCCCCCCCTCCAGTTTCTTGAAGGTTCCACAAGACTGGGCAAACCCAGCGTTTTTATCAAAGCCAAATAACAGCAAATGTGCCATGAGCACCGATATTCCCGCAGTTCACCGAATCTGGAGTAAACCCAAGCTTACACAAAGATGGGATGCCTGAGCTTCTGCCAACGTAACAATCCCTGTGGAAGAGTCTCAAGTCGATCTAGAGAAACCCTGAGAAACATCAGAAGGAGGGAGGAAAGGAGCTTATCCCACCCTGCTAAATGCTGCTAGCAAGGGATTACGCTCTCTCTCCTGTTTCATTCACTGTGGTGTTCCTGTGAACAGATTTATTTTGTACTTACAGTGTCTAATAACAGCTGTTATGCAGTTATGTTCCCACTATCCTGATACACTAATGTTATCCTGTTTAACTCTGCAGCTCCATCTGACATAAAAGCGCACTCGCCATGACATTCTTTAACACTGTAACAAGCCAGCACTGACCGAGGGCTTCATGGCTGTTGCCAGTACACACTTCTGTCGATTGAACTCCCCCACAGCACTAATGGATAGAAGTCATTGCCACATAATTGCTACCAATAGCATAAACCCTATAAAACAGAAAAGCCCAATTCTACTGCCAAGACTGGCAGATACATTACCTTTAGACACAAGTATTTAAAGTAGCCTTTAAGCAGAAGAATTGCTCTGCTGTTCTATTTCGCATTAGCATACCAGTATTTTTCAGGCACACTCATAGCTCCGTTTCAGCCCAACATGACATTGGCTTTGAAACCCAACATTAATAAGTGTCATTCCCACAGAACCACCCTCACCTTCTGCTTGTATTTCTGCTGTGCTCCTGTTGATTTGTTAGACTTGCTGGTTCACCCTTCACATGGATCACAAACAATGGGTAGAGAGATGTGATTTTCTGATGAGAACTTCTCAGCCATTATAAAGCTCCACAGAGTACACTTATTCCTGCACTTCACTGGGGGTAAAGAGGAGAGAAACTAAAAGAATAACAGCCTTGTCCACAATTCCTATTTCCTTCCAAGATCAATGACGACTCATTTTTAGATGAGTCTTTTTTTAGTAACTGGTTCTTGTCAAAACCAGATGCTACACGTAGCTAGAAATGTTCATTTCTTTGTTGCAAGGCTTTTAAGCATTAAAACCTAGATGTTTCTACCCATCATTTCTTCTTCTTCCTAAGCACCCTGTAAGGTAGAGCAAAAAGTCAGGCTCTTACTACATACACAATTTCTGATGTAAAATTGCCTGAGGTTCTCATGATTTTCCCTTTATATTCCCAAATCATCACGGATGGTACAAGCAAAGATGATGACTACTACACTGGAAGAAATACATTTAGACAGAAAAAAGGAGGAAAAGCTAGCTGTGAAAAGTAGTATTAAAACTACTGAAGTAAGATATTTAGAAAACAGAGCAAATACTAACCAAATGATTTAGTTGATCCTTTCTTATGAGCGGGGAATACGCTGGATGACTACTGAAAAGTCACAAAGAGTGGTACTTGAAAGAAAGTTTACTTGTGTTAACATGAAAAGTTTACATGTCTCTTAGTTAGGCAAACACCCTGGAGTTCAGAAGGCAGTCAAGTAGTTGTTTGTTCAGCCTTGTTACCTCTTCCGTAAGTTTTTATAACCTTCTAAACTATGAAGTCGCACACTGAAAAGTGCAGCTTTTCCAGTTTTCTCTCAAAATCCTTCCCAAACAGTAGCTTAATCTCTTTAAACATCTCTTGTCCAACATTCCCTGCATGCACTGACACCGTGGAGTCTCTTCCAACAATACAGAAAAATAACAGCATGGTATGTATCTTATTTTGCCTTTCTCTTGAGCTCCAAGTCATACTTCTAACAAGTGTTTCATGAAGAAGTAACCCATTGTGTACTAAAGGCAGACAGAAGACACACATTTGGAGTTGTTCATTCTGCAGTTTCATTGCCAAAGCAGGATGGTTTGCTTTGTGCTGTTTCATGCTGATTACATTCTGTATGAACATGAAAAACTCAATCAGTGGGACTAACCTAAATATTCCTAAAGACATAATCCACAGAGAAACATGTCAGCCTTTTCTTTCAACACCAAAATGAAATAAAATAAAGCAAGGAAATAGGCTGGAATAAGCACATCATAACTGGTTTTCAGAGGACACACTCTTTATGCAGTATTTGTGTTTCTTACACCAATTGAGTGATAGGCATGAAGCGGGTGAGCAGTAGGAAGCCCAGTCTGATTCCTCTTCAATTTTCTGAGAGGATTTTGCTCTGCCTGGAACAGAAGAAATGAGCATACAGGGGTTTTTGTTGCTTTGCAAATGAAAGCTGGTATTCACCTAGACTCACCGTGTGACAGAGCATACGATCAGGCTCAAGCTGGGGAGAGCACTTTTTGCCTGTGCTGCAGTTATTACCAGGCACAGCACAGGCAGCCAGGCACAGCAATGCAGTCCAGCACCTCATGGCTAATTCTACATCTGAATTTGTACTAGATATAATCCAGCAGTTAAAGGCCATATTTGAAAAACAAAACAAAACCAGATCATCTGGATGAATTCCAATTCTACATTTAAAACACAAAACAAAGAAACCCAAGAGACCATTCAAAATAAAAAGGGGCATTTAACTTGGGAACATCTCAACACTGGGAAGAGTTATGATTCTGTTTTCAAAGTTAACATGTTAACATACCAACCTAAAGCTGCATTTTTAGTAAAAGAACTACATTTTGGGGTCAAATAAAACTTCTGAAATACCGTGTCATGAACAGTGAACTAACTTGAAATCCAGACAGCGCGGGTTTTGTGCAGACTGCACTCCAAAGTGAGTTCAACTTCTTATACTTAGCTTGGAAAACCATCATTATGTCAGCTGTGATCCTGTATTATTTTGGTACGTGCTGCCAAAAACTGCTCATAAAGTACAAATGAAAAGAAAATTATAATTACCTAAAGTTTTGCATTCACCAGGGTCAGGGGAAATGCTTTATTGTGTAGGAACTGCATTTCATGTGAGCCTCCCCTTAATTTCTCCTGTGTTTTCTGTATTTTAGCTGTCCTGCTGGTTTTAATATGAATTACAAATAACTCACATATCACTTACTCACAGGGACCCTGCTACGTAGGAACACAGATGGGCTTAGGCAAAGCCTGTGACAAACTGGGGCACTATGAACACAGAAGAATGTAGTGATTACAATAGAAGGAGCTTCAAAGTACTTTAAACAATCTTCACTCTTCAGAGGCAAGAGTAAGAGCCAACAAGAGAAGGCACAAAGTAAAAAGTTCTATGCATGGCTTTCCCTCCTTTTCCATTTGCTCACTGCAGAACAGTGTTGTTTTGCCTTTTTTATGTAACTTAGCATCACTCTCTTCTCTTGGGGGCAGAAGGGATTTGGGGTTTTTTACAGTTATCATAGTCAAGGCTCCAGCTGAAATTAAAGATCAGAAGTTAACTGAACTTAGATGGAAATATATTCAGCCATAGTCCTACTTAAGCACTTCTGTCTTCTTCACACTTGCTTCTATTCCTCTATGGAGGAATGACTTCTTAAAAGAACATGAATTTGAAATTACTTAGGATCAGTAGGATCAGAAAACTGCCACTACTTCTTAGAGTAGAATGGGTCAGAGAACTAAATCAAGGGTAAAGAAGCAGAGATAATACCTAGGTGAAAAATACTGATCAAATCTGTAGCATTTCTTAACTCACTGGCTCACAGGCTCTTTAGGCAAGGACGAGATTTGGCAGGCATACTGTCAGCCAATATTCCTTCAGATAGCTCTCACAAAGCTGACTTGCCCAGGTCTACAGCAGCTTTTGATCTGACAATGAAGGGTTTTCAGAATTCCTTTATGTGTCAAAACCGTGAGGAAAGTGAAATATTTATAGTTCGTGATGACAGGAAACACTGAGGGAACAGAATCCTCACTAAAGAGAGAAAGACAGAGACCAAGGGAACATTACAAAATTGCAAACAACTGCAAAACCAAGCTATTAACCATCAAATGCAAACCTGAAGATTTTAGTTCAGTCTCTTGGCTTTCTGATACTAATTGTTGTCCATTAACCTTCCACACAACCACCTTGCTGCAACTTCACACGTATGTTTGTATTCAGTTTTCTTTTTAAACCTGCATAAATGAAATCCACAGAGAGTTTACATTTACCACTGCTAAATATCTAGAATCATAGAATCATAGAATAGTTAGGGTTGGAAAGGACCTTAAGATCATCTAGTTCCAACCCCCCTGCCATGGGCAGGGACACCTCACACTAAACCATCTCACCCAAGGCCTCGTCCAACCTGGCCTTGAACACTGCCAGGGATGGAGCATTCTCAACCTCCCTGGGCAACCCATTCCAGTGCCTCACCACCCTAACAGTAAAGAACTTCTTCCTTATATCCAATCTAACCTGTTCAAAGCTTTTTGCCAGAAAGTCTGTAGAAAAAGAAATCACCATCATTTCGTAAGGAAAACAAATCCATGCAATCCTTGTGTTCATAGAGCCTCTCTTCCCTGCACTCTCCTTCAGAAAACATTTAAAACCAGAAAAAAAAGTCAAATCAATGTGGTAAGGGTTAGTCCTTCAACTCAGGAATAAAGCTGAGAAGGAGAACAGAACTTTGGAATGGTATTTGCCCATGAGGCCTCAAAAAGCAATTAAAATGAAATCATTCAGTTGAGAATAAGACAGAATTATTTTAAAACAAAAGTAAATAGATGATGCTGTATAGAAAAAATACACTGAAATCATCAGCAACCAGACATAAAGATGCTCATTTCATCTGTTCCCTCATGTAGTTTTAAAATCCAGATCTCATTCAGACAATTTGACAGTGTGGTACATCAAGGGGTGTCTTCATATTTGACTTCTGGCCCAAAGCAAAGTCCCAGTAAAAGAAATCAGAATTCCCAATTAAATTAACAAAACTGTTATGGTGAGAAGAACTTTCCCAACAACATGAACAGCACTTTGAATACAAGAAGAAAACATGAAAGGTGGAGGATGTTTCTAATATCAAGTTTTCTTATAGTTGCAGATCCCAAGGAAAGCCAATAATATGCTTTTTCCTCCCTAGGCAAGTTTAACAACATAAACTAAACAAAATAAATACATTTACCTCCTATCTCTTTTTTCACACATTCTTTTTCCTTACATTTCCATGCAAAATCAGAGCACACCATCCATGCTCATACCAAGGGTCTGGCTCTGAAATAATGCTCTGTGTTACGACTGCATATGAAGATTGCTTGTATACACTACACATTTAACTTCTGGTAGTACCTCAAACAGTCATGCAAATTAGCAAGACTTCAGGGCACCTGAGGGTTCAGATTTATGGGTAGCACCGTAACTGACAACAGATGTACACTACTTAAAAGTCAATTTAACGTGTATCTAGTGAAAAATACTCGTTATGAAAGCCACTGAACTCATGCTCCACTGGGGAGCACAAGATGTCAGTCAGGGGTAATAAAGTCCTAGTTCAGCTTCTGCTGAGAGTTTTGTGATTGAGTTTTCTGTCACCATCAGTAATTCCTCGCTCCCCCAAGGACAAGGTTTCAGAGTTCAAGCAGTACAAAACTATCACCTTGTAAATGGTGCTCACTTGTAGGAAAGGGGACACAGGAAGCTGCTGGAATTATAATAGTAGGAAAGAAATGAGAAATAAATTTTGTGTCAGCTGATTTTGTTGCCAGCCTTTTCTCCTTTGTGATGGAAGTCAGGGTAATGGAAGGCTAAGTCACCAAAGTAACTCCACAGAGTTCTAATCTTCAGAGTTACCATATGCACACACTATGGGTAAGTCATTTGTAGACTTTGTATACATTTGGATGTGGAGATTTGGGATGGATTTTATCAGGAAATCATTTTGCTTAGAGCAGATGTTCCCCAGCACTCTGTTACCTGTACCTGCGTGACAGATTAAGGAGCACATGGGAAAACCAAGACAGTGGTTTTGCCATACCACCGAGATGCTCACCCATAAACTGTGCCAGCACGAACATGAGAACCTGTTAAGGCAAGACCAGACATACAATGAGACAGAGACAAATGAGGCAGAGGCTTCATGACTGTGGTGCCATCACAGTGCAGAATCCAACTGACACTCTTACCATTATAGACATAAAGCACATTTTTAGTTGAAAGACTGAAAATTGATAGAGATAGCAAGAGTTACACACAATACACAGTTAGAGGATTACTGAGGGATGGTGCTTAAAACATTTTTCCCCACTTATTATGCAAACGCTATGCAGAATTCATGGTTTTTTGAGAACTCGGACTAATTTTACAATAATAACCTTCTCAAGGATGACTGTTAATTGGGAAATAAACTGCTTACCAGTACTTTGGGGGCTGAAGTTACATGCTGAAAAATGAAATAGCAAGTCATTTGGGTTTTCAGATCCTGAACTCATTTCACAGAAAAGAAAGCTTGCATAGTTAGCAGGAAGCCATCAACATCCAAAATAGAAGCCAGATTGAAATAAATTATGTCTTATTTTAGCAAGCAAATTTTGTTTAATTGCACTTCTGAATAGAATTTGGCTTTTAATGGAAGATAAAAGTTTGCAGTGAGCAATGCACAATAAAAAGCATAGCACAAACACAGCACAATAAAGAACATTCCCACTATAGATATACTCAATATACAGCATTATGAGTCGAAGACGTTATCCTTACTAAATCACGGGAATGTTCTGACATGAAATCCGAGGTGAAAGCTTCTCTGAAGGACATGCAAATCCTTCTGTAATGCTTCAACTCAATTCATCACGATGCTGTTCCCATCCTGTGCTTATGCAGTGAGATCAAACAGCTTTTTTAATTATTACAATATAAAGAAGTACTTGAGCGAGCCGGGGCCCTTTGGAGTGGTGTTCTACTGGCGTGAACAGGCGCAGCCAGAGGAAGGCAATCCTCTCGGCTCTCTAGATTGCCATGGAGAGGAAAAGCAGCAGTTTTCATGCTGCCTTATGGGAGCACTCTGCCTGGCTGCCATTCTTCCCAGCTCCCTCCTTGCTAGAAAACCATGGATGTGTCAGAGCTTCAAGATGAGTTGATTACACAGTCCCAGGGCAAGGATTACAGCCCGGTATCTCTGCTCCGCTCACTGGAGCAGTGTTTCTTTCCCCACTTCACATGAGCTATTTACCATATTCTATTCTCTTGTTTGTTTGTTTTGAAGTTTGTTGTCTTCCCTCATTAGAGACATTTGCATTCCAAGGGAGATGTGCACCTGATTTACATATTTGTTCAATCCAGACATATAAACAGTCTTGAGTATTCGTACACTGACAGAGCATCATGATGTAAATAAAGTGAGAGTCTCATAACAACTTCAGTATATCTCTGAGGGTAACGTGTACAAGTGATTCATGTTGTGGCATTATTAAGGGAAGTATTTTGAGGCAAGCCCAAAAGAGAGCGAGTTACAAGTAAACCCATCTTACTTTTAATTTTGTCCAACTTATCACAGAGAAAAGAATTAAATGGGCTAGGGGAAAACATATTAAAAGTGAGAAATTTAAAGGAATAGATTTAAAATTGCCACTGCCTTGTGAACACTGCTGTGCTACTGCCAGATTTGCCTTGAGGGCCCAGCAGCCTCACCGCAAGAAGTCGCATTGAGTCATGGCATTTTGAAGGGCTGAGCGTGCACTACCCAAATCCACCTAAGGCGTCCTTTGAACTACACAATTGCCAGGTAATTCTCCTTTCAATAAAGTACATACTGAACATTAAAAGGAGTTTGTCCCAACTTCTTAGCCCTTATTACCATCAGCTGTACTGCACAGAGTATTAGGCTTTCGCAAAGACTGAAAACAGTCGTTTTGTAGTGATTTTAAGTTGCAGTTCATATGGCACGTGTTCAAAAGAAGCTTCAGTTATTTTATATCTTCTACTATTTAAGCTACACAGAAACTAGGAAGTACCCTCAAATTGAGAGGCAATAGTACTGTTTTAAAGACAGAATTGTCTATGACATCAGCTGACCTAATGTCTTGCCTTTGTACATACGTAATGCAGTTTCTGAAATGTTTTTGGCTTGTGCAAGTCAAATCACACCCCGATTCCCAGAGATGTGCCTCCTTAGAGCTGACCGGCAGCTGTAGACACTGCTTTCTCAATGGAAAGACAAAGAATTTTTTTATGCCCCTTCTGCTGTTTTGATCTGAATATGGGAAGAGACCTACCAAATATTTGTTTGTAGATAAATAAGCTGCTGAGAAGCATCCATGCAGATCAAAGCAGGCAGATGGGTGACCTCAGTTTACTCCCGAGCATGTCTGCTATTTTAGGAGATGTATCAAATATTCTCACAGGATCCAGGGCAGAAAGTTCACTCGCTTCTCCTGCCAAACTGAAGATTTCTGCCCTAGAATATTCATGGCTAAGACAGAACAACACACACAGCTCCTCCACTTGTGCTGCTGGCTGCAAAAGCTATCCAAGAAGATGGCCGAGGACCCAGTGGTACAAGGTCTGACTTGTCTTCAAATGCAGGGAACTACTACTCAGAGCTGGGAACCAGACATGGAAGAAGAAGGAATTAAAGTTGCAGGTAATGCCTGTTACAGAGGTAGTGAGATCCCACATTATTCACAGCAGGGGGGTTGGAACTAGATGATCTTAAGGTCCTTTCCAACCCTAACGATTCTATGATTCTATGATTATTCAATCACTGCTGGTTTCTGAAACACTTCAAGTCTGTGTGGTAATACTGCGTAATTATTGTGAGAAATAAAAGCATTACCCTGGACATGAGTCATGAATATTTTTCCCACCCAATGCTTAGAAAATGATCTATAATACGTGACCAACCACATTATTTGACTTATAGAGCTTGAAATCACATAAGTCACATTATCATGGTCCCTGTTATGAAAACCTCCTCCTATATTACCTAAACTTACACT